TCGCTTCTATTCTTAGCCCGCTGTCGATCCTGCTAATAGATCGCGGCAATAATTTAATGGACATCTTACCCCTCTCACCAGTTGCTGCCTGCCTTCGGGGGGGATTATTCGCCTCTTGATTTTCTCAGTCGTGATGCCTTTTTGTCATGCGAGAGAATCGAGACCAAAAACTTCGCCTTATAGGGACGGTGCTATCCCCACCCCCGCCCACCTCCTGCGACCATTTCACAACCCACATATGGTGGCCTGGCCATGACTTGGATTTATATTTAGTCCGCTTCCTGCTTCTGCCACTTGAGATGGGAAACATGAAAACGAAAATGGATCGGGAATGAGACCATAAATGGGAAGACCCTATGAGGCAGGGAAATGTTTGTCGAAATTGTATTGATTGCACTATAATTCTCGTGCTCTTATTGTTCGAACTACACTTTGTCCGTGATTTCTTTAAGTCGACGGTGAAACAACCCTTTTATTGAAGTTCGGAACTCTTCTCGGCTGTCAAATCGGGGGTCATACATATGTATGCCATCTTTCTTGGTACGACGCGCTGGAGAGGAACTAAAATTAGTAACGGAATCGTATGTTTTTGGCTTTCTACTCGTTTCTAAAAACCCCTCGGCACTTATAAAAATGTTTAGCTTAATTGCTTGGAGAGACTGACGAACTCTTGAAAGAGCCCAGAAAAAAAGGAGAAATGAGTTCTTAAATTGAAAATAGAAGCATTGACCTAAGTTCTGATATTAACTTGTTTTGCAAAACATATAACTAATATTGAATTGGGTTTTATGTTTATATTATATTTATACTCTTGCAGAGGGAATTGTAATTTTACTCAAATATTTGCATCGCAGTAAAGGAGAAATTAAATCATAAAGGAGAAATTAAATCATAAAGAAACAAATTACAATTATGAAAGAAAAGTGTTAATATTGATATATTAAGGTTTTTTACTTTTTAAAAAATGTTTTTTCCGTTCTCGAAATATAAAAAGATTAGATCATCTAGCTGCGATTGGAACAAAAATGTGTTGAAAAATCGACTTAACCTTTTTTGTTGTTATGATCAATAATAGATAGAATATTACATTTGTGTTTCATTTGGTGAAGCTATTTAAGAGTATATAAAGTTCGGCTGTCAAAGCTATCTTATTTTCTTATTTTATTATGATGGAGTAATTCAATATTTTTTACTGGATCTTAAGTTACTTAACATAGATAAACCTGATATAAAGATGCTCCATAACTTTGCAACTGAAAGTGAAAAGTAGCTTGAACGAACCGCACAAACCGCAAAACCGGAGAAGCTTTCAAGGGAGGAAGAGCCCAAAGTACCGGAACTGAGAGAAAAGTACATTACTACTCAAATTAATTCTGCCTAGTTTTTACTGCAGTTTGAATGCAACATTAATTGGAACAACAGCGCCGAATCGCCGAGGGTATTCCAGAGTTTCTTCTAGTCTGCCAGTAGTCAGTCGCCATAGGGCTTCTCCCCGATGCAATTGAATAGAGGACGATATAGAGAGAAAGGGGAGTGCGTTTTGAACTTTCGTGACCCGAGAGATTTCAAAGTTTCAAAAGTTGAGAGCAGTAAAAGGGTAGAGTGAGTTATTGTTTTTTTTAGCAACACATTTTTAAAACAAATGGGTTAATATTCCGAGTCTTAGTTATTTACACAATGGGTCTATATATTATAAATATTTAAATAAACATGAACTTTACTGATCTCAACCAACACACTAAATTTGCATAAATTTTAATTAAGCCAGGGTCTAGTACGTTATAAATCAATCTATACTATATCTGCTCCATATTATACAGCGAAAAATGTTATGTCATCACAACCGGGTTTCTCATACGAATTTCGATTCCACTTCTTTATTAACAGTTTTATGAGTACTCCGGCAGTCCTCTGCCACTCCATCTTCGTCAACACCCAATTTCTGCCCCCCTAAAAGCTCAACCCATCAATTGTTCCCCATTTAAAGCGTTTTAGTTTGTCGCCATAAAATTTTTATCGCAGATTTGGAGCAATAAACTGTATGAATTGAGGCAGCAGTGGCCATTTGTTGTTGGGTCAGCCCAGAGTTTTTTCTGAAACCGTTAGAGTTGAAAGAGCTAAGCGGAGTTTAATTGACGTCGCCAACCGATGCTAATGCTAATTTGAACCGATTTGGTTCAAGATATTTGAAGAACCAAGGCGGAGAAATAATCGAATTATGAAAAAACGGGCCAAGCAACAACAGAATTCGAAAAGAATCCGAGAAGAATAGGCAGAAAATAACAATCAGTTGTACGCATATTCGAGACAAGAATTAAGCAACCAAAAATGTGAAAATTAATTATTTCAACCCCTGTTCAGATCTTGCTCCCCATCCAAGCACTTTTTACTTTTGGCAAGGTAAGCTTAAAATTCAAAAGAATTAGGGAGAATCGTTGGGTGAACGGTACAAGACTTCTCCGGTTTTATCTCTGATTTCGCTGGAGAGATTGAGATTGTTTTCGTGTGTTGTCAACAAACCCATAAACAAACACCTAAAAATGGCAATATCATAACTCTCGTCGTTCAAAACAAAAAGTTCGCATTAATAAAAAAAAAACAACGGATAAAGTGCAATAAATTGGAGTCGCCTTCGCTTTTCCACTTTGGCTTTGCCTCCTTAATGGCGGCTTTATTCCCCTTACTCCCCGAAGACACTGGTAGACTGCTACCTAATTTTTTACCCCGCAGAGCGTAACGCCACGCACGCGCTGAAGATTACAAAAGGCAAAGAAGGGGGAGAGAGGACGCAAGAGAACTTTTTGCTCAGGCACAGCCTCAAAAAAGGGCAGCTACATTTTTTGATCCTACTTCTCAGCTTTACTGCCTTTATTTTAAGGTAGGCGGATAATCTACTTTGGTTGCCAACTGGCAACAACACGAGGATAATTCCCTAGATGGGAACAGCCACAGTAGTTCTTGAATGCCCTGCAGGAAAGTGTTATATTTGTTTTGGTACATTTACAAAAACTTCTAGTTAGTATTTCCATTATGAAAAAGTAATGAAAGCTTCTTGAAAATGAAGACTTGCGTATTAATTTGAAGAAGAGAAAAGTTCAACTATGTATATTTTTTTCCCTCTTAATATGGTTCTTAGTCGAGAGATGTTATTTTGTTAGTTAACAATAGCACTGGTTTTTATATACTGGGATTTCATATATCCATATGAAAAATTTAGATTATGGCTAATAACTTAGTCATCGTAAACAGTTATAAAATAAATGCTATATTTAAAAAAATAGCTAGTTTTAAATTTGATAAGAATACCACTAACTAATTAAAAGTTACTTGATTTTAAAACCAATTTGAAGGAGAATTAAAAAATATAAACAAGCTAAAGAGCCTTGTTATCAGATATATCTTAAAGACTTTATCTTACCTGGACAGAAAAAAATAATTTTTAATAAGACAAATTCTCAAACAATATGTAAGAAAAATGTATTGAGTCAGATCGAAAAAAGAAGAGCTTGGAGTAGGTATGGTGCAGATTATGGTTTTATATTCATTGCAAGGATCGTGAGCATCGCCTCCGCTTATTCTTCTCCTCCTTTTTCCCCTTCGTTTCACTTTAGCTTATTCCCCTTTTTCGCGGCCGCCAGGGAGTCGATTGTTGTTGCTATGTGAGCTCATCGCCAAAATCACTGGCCACGCCCCAAAGTGACGACACAGGCGCCAAAAGGAGTTGAAGTCGCTCTCTTTCTCTCTGTCTCGCACGTTAAGTGCCCACTCCAGAGAGATAAGTATCTCAAGGACGCACTCAAAAGAGAAGCGAGTGGGTGGTTAGGGACGGAACGAGCAGGGACATTTGCTCGGGGTCATGGCCGTGAGTCACGCTTGTAACCGTCCGCAAAAACGTGAGTCAATGCACTAAAGTTAAGGAACTTAAGGAGTTACAAGGAGTAGGCGGAGTAAGAAATTCAGATTATGCAATAAGAATGTGGTCCTTTCTCTTTCCGCACAAGTTTAATCGATTTGTTATTGTTTTTCAACTCCGTCTTCACGTTTGCGTTTGCTTTTGTTTGTTTTTGTTTGAGGTGGAGCGGATCGGAGTTTTATTAACGCTTTTTAAACTAATTAAACACGCGAGTTTGACTCTTACACAAGTTTTTCTAGTTTTTGACTACAAAAATAATAGCAGCTGGATTTTGTAGTAGTTGTTGTTGCTGCAGGAACAGTTCCGAAGGGAGAAAGGGCGGGGGAGTGAAAGAGAGAGAGCACTAGCAGCCGGCTGCTGCACACACACACAAACTTACGCACATGGAAATTTTTATTGATTTTTCACACTCACACAGTAACGGTAAACAGGAGCTGTACCCAGATAAGGGCGATAGGGATCAAAAGCAAAGGGAAAAGATAATTGCAATTCACAACACAAAATAAACAAAATATGTGCACTCCCGCTTAAATGGGATTAATTATCAGACTCTCTCTCTCTTTATCTCTCTCTGCTTATTGCTCCTTTTATTTATTTTAATGCACGCTTAAAAAAACAAGGCCGTTCACTATAACAAAATGAAATACACAAAACAATTCACAAACTTGCAAAAACAATTGCTGTAGGGGGGGAAGGTACAACTACCGTTATCCCCAGCGACTTACTTTTTTCGGCGTGGCTTTACTTTTGGCAGAAGCCTTGCTTTAGCACAACTATTTTATTAACCACTTGTTTTAGGCGCTCAGTTCGCAAACTCCGCCCTGTATTTTCACTTTAATGTTTAGACAAACGCGCGTAAATGGTTTCAACTTACACTAACGAGCGAAAAAGTCGCGTCCGCTCACTGCCAATTCAAAATACGAATGAGCGCAAAGCGAAAAGTGATAAAGTGATAGATATGGAGACCCAGTGTTGACAAATACCAATGGTGCTTATATCTGGCAGCACTATATGGTGTGTGTCTGGGCTAAGACGATTTGGCGATCTGGTAGCTTTTTTTCGAAACGGTAAATGGTTTAAAGTTTTTTGAATCACGTGTTCGTTTTTTTTTGGGTTTTTTGTTAATTAATTGAGTTTCTGGCGCAAAATGCTGCTGTTGCACCTGCTGCTCTGGCCAGCACTAATAGCCAGTGTCCCCTCGCCGCCCTCCGCTTCCCTTAAAGCCGAGGTAGCCAAACTGCGTGGTGAACTAGAAAAAGCTCTGGAGGAAGGCGACGAAGCAACTGTAGGTAAATCGCATTTTAAGCCGCTTTCCATTGACTATCTTAGTTTATCCCAGCCGGCAGTGGTGGTGGCTCCCGGATGGACCCAGCAGGCTGGTCACCCGCCCCCTGGGAACGCCTCCAAAGTGGTGGTGAACGACTCCACGCTGGGCAGCGCCGCCATTATTCGTCAGGAGATTCAGCAGGCGGTGGCTAGCCAGGGACAAAGCCCAGAAATCCTGCAGTTGGAGACGCTGCTAAGGGCCAGGGGAAGTACCAAGGGGAACCCGGCCCAGGTAGCCAATCCCCGCCAGGAGTTGCTGGGGGCAGCCGGCCAGGATGGCCAACTGGCAGCCAATGTGGTGGAATCACGCTTGGCAACGCAGAACATCGATTTGGAGCAACTGCAGCGCTTGGAGCTGTCCAAGAGGCGCACGCGCGACATGATCATCCTAGGTCGCATAGAGGAGTTGCTAAACTTCAGCCTGCCCGCGGATGTGGATCGCTGGCTGACCCTGCAGGCCAATGGAAGTGTCTATCTAGTGGGCCAGCAGACGGATTGCTTCCTGGTTCTAACTGGGGAATTCATCCCCTTGACGACCTATGTCCATCCCTCTCCCGTGACTGCTTTACTTGGACTGGATCGGTGGAACAACCGGAAACATGTGCAGGAGGGACTGGTGGTGATTGCCTCCCAAGATCAGCTCATCTGGCTGCGCTTGGAACCCAGATCGGGACTCACAGCCTTCTGGCACTGGACACTGGGCTTGACTTCGACCAAGATAAGCGCCTTTAGCCTGGAGAGACGGGACTTCCTGGCCCTCGTCAGAAACCACACGCTCAGCATTTACGCTTATGACCTGGAGGCGGAGGAGTTCTGGATTGCGCAGCGCCTGCAGCTGCCAGAGACGATCTCTGACTTGGCCATCCTCGATACAGGCAGGGAACTGCTTCTGGCTGTGGGTCAGTGGGATGAGGTCCTAATATACGCCTGGAACTCCAAGGGAGAGCCGCTTCAGCTGCGCCAGCGAGTTCAAGCACCTGAAGTGACTGCCATGACAGCCTTCCAAATGGGCGGACGGAGCTATCTGGCGCTGGGCGGGATACTGCCCCAGATCCTGGTATATATGCAGGGTAAACTTGTACCACGCACCATACTCGGACAGAACTTTGGCTTTGTAGAGCACTTCTTACCCGTGCCCGTGCGCAGTTACCGAGATGACCTACTCCTGCTCGTCCAACATCGAGTTGACTTCGATCCACATTCCCTGCTCGTTCTGGAGGTCCTAGTGTGGAATGGGGATGCCTTCGAGGCGGGCTTGCCGCCACCTTGTGGTGCAACCAATACCTATGGCGCAGACTGCATGCTGGACCAGGAACAGGGTGTTGGCATCGTAGGAGCGGCCTTGCTTCGCCAATTGGATCAGCCGCCTTTGGTGCTGGTGCCCAGGAAGCAAGCTCCGTCGAGCATCTTTCATCTGAAAGCGCAGCTGTTGGTAAGAAATTCGGAGACACAAGACCTGCAGGAGATACGCCAGTTCATGCAGGATTGGTTGCACACTCAGGAGGAGCTGATTCAACTAGTCGGGGAGCTCTTTATGGAGGAGGACCAAGATAGTGTGCCCTACGAGGCGGTATTTACTCCTTTGGTGGTCAGCGAAGGCGGAACCATTGAGGAACTCTTTGTGAACGAGACCCGCTGGACGGGTGCGGATGCTGCTCTGAATATGTGGGAACTGCTTGAGCAGATTGGCTTGTTGGACGAGGAACTCAGTTCCAAACGGTCGAAGCGCCACCCTGAGGCGCTTTTCAACTATCACTACGAACAATTGGAGGTGGAAGCCATTGAATCTGTGGAACTTATCTTAGAGCGGCTCAACAATGCGCCTTTCTACATTCAAAACGCCTCCCTGGAGTTTCCGTTGGGAACCTTAAATGTGCAGCAATTAGAAGTATTGAAATCTCCTAGGGAGGAGGTTGTTTCAGTGGAGGGCATAGAATCCCACGCGGCTCTGCAGCTGGCTGGGGATTTGAACTGCATTTTTATTAATGGAATGGAGTGGGACAAACTGCTTCCAGAACTCGTGTGGCGCCATCAGCCCCTAAAGCTTTTTCAGTTAAATGTGGAAGGAGTAAGTGGTTTCTTCCTGTAATCTTCTCAATTGCTAATTGTTTTTAAGTGTCCTGGCCAAAAACAAACCCTTTTTATTTTTCTTTAGTAAACCAAATTAGATTATCATGGAAATTTCACAACGGAGATTTTTTTTTCCAGCACCACAAAAAAGCTATAAAAAATGTTTTTAAATGTTTAGTTTAAGCTAAACAAAAATTAAAAATCCTTGTTTTTTCAGTACATGTCATCTTATATCTGTGCAAAAGTTTGGCTAACAACTTGTTGAGTAAAGAATGCAAAATTTTTTCTCAAAATTTTGCTCAAAATTAAAAAATAAAACTAAGATTGACGCTTCTAAAGGGCGCAACTTCCAACGGCTATATTTTTGAGAGTTTTGTACGATCGAATTGATGCGTTGGAAGTATGCCCTACGCATTTTAAACTAACTAAAACAATTTTTTCTTCAAAACCCATGTAACCCCTCAGCCTGTCATATACGAGGATGCACTGCATGTGAGCTCTCTCAACGACCTGAGCTTCCCAGCAGATTTTCTTTGGTCGCAGCAAAATGAAACAAGTGTTGTCCAGGCGCCTAAGGAGTTTACGCAAACGCTCTGTAAGTAGGTGAAACAGAAATAGCCTCTTCTTTTAATAACACATTTTTAATAGCTACCAATGCTGTGGACACTTCAGGCACCATAAACGCAGTGAATCCGCAGGATATCGTCACCCTCAGTGATTCGCAGGACTGGATGGGGCGGGTCACCTTCTCTCACTTGGAGGTTTCTGAAGAATTGGAGGTGAATATATTGGCCTTTCCCAGCCGATTCCAACAAGTAATCCCTTGCTTATCTAGCTTAGCGGCAGTACCAAGGGACGCCAGTTCGGGGAAGCGCCTTTAAATCCCACTCTGCTGGAGTCGCGTAAAATATTTGCCGACTGCCATTTCGACCAGCTTTTTGTAAGGGGACCTGTACGGCTGCTTGGAAAACTGGATAACGACAGCTTTGACTCCCTTTTCGACGATCTTGTCCAGCGTTCGCCTGACTTCGGCAATGAACTGCTTATAGCTGGAGGCAAGCGGGTGGATCAGCTTCTCCTGCCAGTGGATGCCCATGTGGCAGATAGTCAGCTGAGTGGGATTCCCCTTAATGACTTTGTAACCAGGCATACGCAGCAAACTCTTCGAAATCTGACTCAACTAGGAGGATATGTTTACTTTCATCAGCTGGAGCTTGGTAAGGGCTCCTCCTACGATGGAGTTCGCCTGCAGGAACTTCTCTCTAACAGTGTGCGACTGGATGGGACATCGCCTCTGATTTCGCTTCTCACGCGTCTCCGATTTGTTGGTTATCCTCCTGAACTCACCCGACTCCTGGTGGATCGCCGCTTAAACCAGCTTCCCCTGTCCAGTGGCTACCAGCTGCTCCATGAACCGATCCATCTGAACACAGCCAACTTCAATCGCCTGGAAGCAGAGCAAGCTCAAGTGAACCGTGATGTGACTGGAAGGGGACTCGTCAACGGGCAAAACCTAAGCAATATACTTCACAAGCAACCGCGCACTTGGTCAGGTGAAGTGCACATTCAGGAGCTCATCCTCCCCCAGGGAGTGCAAGCGAACCAACTGCAGGGTATAAAAGCCAACCTTCTGCTGGGATTTCTGCAGCAGCTGGACGAGCTCCCGCTGCTGATTCTCCAGGGTCGCCTCCAGGTTGAGCGCATCGCCGTGAGCGGCTTCGTGCAAGTGGCGGAAGCCTTAAACACGAGGGATTTAAATGAAATTCAACGGCAGGTGGTGTGGTTGGATAGACCCAACGAACTAAGAACTCGTTGGATCCTGAGGGAGCCTCCCCAGTTCCAGAGAAACCTCCATATCTTGGGCAGCTTCAACGAGCGCCTGCTCCCGGAATTGCTAGAAGATATCGTACTGCGGTCCGAGGGGCAAGAGGTGCTAATCAAGGGTACCAAGAGCTTCCTGGCTCCCGTACACTTGGAGGAACTTCATTTGGCTGCTTTAAACGGGATTCCCTTCGAGCATCTGGCCAACAAAGTGAATCCGCTAAACCTCACTGGATATGTTCGGCTTCAGGGACGACTTTTTGTGGAAGATCTAACGCTAAATGGTCAACTGAACGAGGACACGGATTCCCCCTTTCAAATTGAAAAACTTCTCCGTTGGGATCCGATCTTGCAAACTTTCATCCAGCGGAGACTCGTTGAAGTTCCACCAAAGGAGCTGGAGCATCTGGTGGTGCGGGGCCACCTGGGAAACCGCAGCCGGGAGCCCCTACATGAGCTCTTCGATCAGCTGGTCTTCAAGCAGCAGCCTGGGATTCATCTACACGACCACAAGACTTTTACGGGGCGTGTTCGCATCGAGGATGGGGCCTACATAAATATCTTTAATAGACTTGATCTGCAGCAGCTCCTGGGACAACTTGTCTTTACAGATTCGAAGGAGGAGGTGGATTTGGAGACTCCTGTTCGCTTCGCGGCTGCCGTTAAGATGGCTCATCTGCAGGCAGAGCGCCTTATGCTCTCGGGGGAGCTGCTTGATGGATGCAATGTGAGCCAGTGGCTCCGGGACACGGCTCGTGTGGATCACGATTTTAAACCGCGCAAGCGTGAGCAGAAGATATAAATAAATCTCAATTTTTAATTGGTTCTAATTTTTTACAATTATTTTTCAGTTGCCTTCTCGCAAGGATCACTGGACGGGAATTCCCTGAACTTGGAGGAGCTTAATCATGTGGATATGTCGCAAGTTGTCACCCGACACACGGAGCAACACTTAAATGATCCCATAAGTGCACAAGACCTTTTCCTAGATGGGAAACTGGTTGTGTGGGGCAGGGTTAATAATCGAAATCTATCTGAGGAGTACGCCAACACTTTAATGGTGCGTTAGCTAATGCAAAACCCATACGAAATAATCGTCGAGACTCACTTTCCCCAGCAGATTAATCCTCATATGAAGCAGCGCGTGCAGTCGCCCCTTTTTATGTCCGGCATAAATGTCAGCGGATCCCTAAAGGTTACTTCTCTCGTTAAAGGACTAAACCTGAGCGATGTAGCCATTTTGGGTCCAGATCCTGTGCGCTTGCAGTCGCCGCTATATTTGGCCACCCTCAAAGCCCCCTTTTTAAGAGCAAATCAGAACCTTAACGGATTTGCTTTCAGGGATTGGTACGATCGCAGCCTATGGGCGCAGGGTAGAGAGCAACAGGAGATCACCGGTAACTGGCGTGTTAAGAAGCTCCGTGTTAAGCAGCCAGATGGGTTGCGACCACGTCGACAAAGTGCTCAGGAGAGCTACCGGGAGTTGTGCGAGGAACTGACCAGGATTCTGCTGCCGTATCAAGTTCAAAAGTTGCGAAAGAGTTTCTCCTTGAAGCAGGAGAAGGATCACGGGGATGTGCGTCGGGTATTTTCGTTGGAGGCACCAGGAGGCATAAGTTATCTACTGATAAACGAGCACGGCTGCTGGACGCGCATCCATCGCTGGAATGGATCTTCGTTCGACCGATCTGGAGCCTTTCAAAGCGGACCTGTGGACGAGGTAGCTGCTTTAAGAGTGGGAAACAAAAGCAGCAGCCAGGAGTTCGCTTTTATGACTAGCTACGAGATGCCGGAGGATGAGCACGAGGCCAGCTGGGGTTGCAGCGAACTGAAGCCCAATCTCTTGAGCTGGCAAATTGACAACCAAACCAAAGATACTAAGCAGACGTATATACCAGGGAACACCTTAAGGAATCTCAAAGAGCAGCACGAGAAGCTCAACAGTCGGCCATTGGCGATTCCCAGTTATCAGCAGGGTATCAAGAATCTTAACCGCCCAACCATCGAATCCCAGATGGGTTCAAAATGGCAAGAGGAAAAACAGAAATTAGATCCCTCGGATCTGGCCAGGATTCGGAGACGCCTGCTCGACACTTTGGAGTTCCGGTTGCAGGCGGAGGTGAATATCACCCAGCTGAGTATTCCCGAAAGCGATCTTTTCGACGAACACTTGGTAGAGGATTTCCTGGCGCTAATGCGGCAGCTGCATAGCTTGCGGAACCGGCTGGCGACGGACAGTCTTCCACTGCCGGACACTCCTGCCAGAGTCCTGGCAGCAAGGAGTGCGGAGCTCATATGGCCTGTGCTGCAAGAGCTGCGAGGGATTTCGAGTGAAAACGGCACCGGGTTCCAAGAACGAGCTCTCGAGCAAACGCTGCTAGATGTGCTGGCGCTGGCCAACGATGGAAATGGCTCCGGGGATGACGAGAAGCTGCATGCTGTGATTCAAAGATTGAGAAGACTAAAGGATGAGCTTTATGAGCAAGATGAGAGCCCAGAGGAACCGGCAGCCTCCTCTTCGCACAAAGAAGAGCAGTCCCTGCCACTTCCAAACGCCAGCTGGCGGCCTGTTAAAACCCTCCGTCTGCATGTAGGACCCACAAACCGGGCCCTGCTGCTCTACGCCCGCCTGACCGTGCTGACACCCTCGGATGGCCCTCCCCCCACCACACCCTCAACTGCCCCGGCTGCCAACATTCAGCTGCATCATGCGAATGGATCACTCTTTCAATCGCTGGCCGCAGAGCGTGGAGCTGGCCATCTAACCACTTTGCGAGTGCGCGATGAGACGCTGCTGGCCTTTGTGGAGGGATGTTGTTGGATACGGGTGCTGCTCTACCGCGGAGTGCAGGGATTCGTCGACTTTTCCCGTTTTCGCGCTCCTCACACTGACGGTGGGAACCAAGATGGAGAGGTGTTGCAACTACTATTTCTCCGATTGCCTCTCCCTCGGGCGCCTGGAGCCACGTACTCCTTGGCTTTGGTCCAGGCCAGAGGCGTCACCTTCTACGAACTGGTAATAGTTGGATTACTAGAACCGTGGCTTAAATGCACATAGCTGAACGATTTTTCCAGAGAAAACAACATCGATGTGGATGAAAATGTACAGATTATACCAATAGTTAAATCCTATTTATGAGGATCCTTCCGGTAAAACTTTATATAACTTCTCATATATTTACTTGTTTTTTAGTTGTCAATAATATGTTAGATTGTTAATTATGTTATTTGTTAATTATGTTATTTGTTAATTATGTAATTACCTAAATGGATGCTTAAATTAATATTTTCCTACTGAAAGAAGACACATGGTATCCCTTAACTATATCGGTATATCTTTATTTCAAGAACCTTAGTAACACATATACATAGCATTATTTACGACTTTGAGCTTAACCTTGATCTCGGTAATTGACTCTTAAAGCCTATGCCCGACTTACGACTACAAGTCCCCGGATTGTGAATTCTGAATTCTGAATCCGAGGTGGAAGCAGATTTAAAGGACAGTGACTACAATAAATACACGCACATTACGACAACAAACGGCTGAAAGAGGAAAGAGGAAGTGTGTGGGGAGGGGGGACTTTCATATGTACAGCTAATCCGGCCCAAATGCATCTTTTACGAGGGAATCTTCACGGGCAGGAATAGGCGCGGATCGCCGATCTTGGGGCTCAGTCGCACCACCACCTGATCATCGCCGTCGCCCACTTCGAGGAAAGAGTTCCAGTCGGCCAGGAAGTAGAATCCATTCTTCTTCTTCGGAGGCAGTGGTTCCTCACTGACGGGGTCGGGTCCAAAGGAGTCTGCCAAGTCGTCGAGAGATCCGTTCCGAGATTCCTCTGTTGTGGTGGTGGTACTAGTGCTGCTCGCCAACTCCTCCTCGGCTGCTCCTCCGATGTCCTTGTCATCGTCGTCCAAGCCCAGACTCAGGCTGATCTTGGTTGGGGATTGGGTGGTCGTGGGCGCGTCCTTCTCATCCTTCACTTCTCCAGTCTGTGTGGTACCATTTCCCTCACTCTGTCGCCTCGATTTCAGGGTCTCATCTTGGCCATTTTGGAGAGACTGTAGATACGCGGCATCCACATTGGTTCTCGGCGTGGACGGAGCAGTGGTTACCTGGTTAAGACTCATGTTAAGCTGTTGGAGCTCCTGGAGATTGCTGATCAGGCGCTGCAGCTCGCTGAGATTGCTCTTGGAGTCATTTCCCGTGTCCTCGGGTGTCGCGGATTCCGGCTTGGCCAGCTGGTAGTTCAGTTCACTGAACTCCGCCATAAGGTCGCCATCGAGTTCGCCCTCCCTCTCCTCGCCATCCTCCAGATCATCGGGTTCGCCCTCATCGCTGCGTCGGCGGAATCCACTGCCCACGCCCAGTCCCTTGACCACTGCAATGGGCAGTCCCTGTTTGGGGGCCAGTTCAGTGCTCACACCAATCCTGTTGGCCGCCCGCTTGATGGCCGCCTCAATGATCTTTGTGGCACTGAAAACGGGTAGCTGGAGGCCGCTCTCCGTAGTGGGCATGTGTTCCGTGACAGGTCGCACCTTGGGACGGCTGGTGGTCAGCGAGAAGACCGCCGGGGAGGAGGTGTCATGCACTTGAGCGGGCGCCGCAGTGGTGCTGGTCGTGGTGGTGGTGGAAGATGTGGTGGACGTGGTGGCCTGTAGCTGGCTCTCGAGCTGCTGCGACAGCTCGTGGGGCAGAGCCACGCCCAGTTTCTGCAGCTGTTGGGTGTTGTACAGCAGCTTCTGCAGCTCCTCGAGATCCGCCTTTTTGGGCCTGGAGGTGGGCGTTGTGGGCGCCCTCCTGGCGGGCACGAATCGAGGACTAGCGGGCGTGGCGGGCGGCTGAGTCTGCACCGTCTTGTAGATGGGCTGCATGTGCTGGTAGCTCTGGCGCTCGCCAGTGTCCTCCAGGCTGCCAAAGAACTGCTGGAACTGGACAAGGTCTGGCGAGGCGGAGGCTCCTCGTTGCGGATGCGCGGGCCGACTCATGGCCAGTTCCCGCAGCTCCTCGCTGGAAGATTGAGAGGGCGCGGCCAAGGTCGGAGGCTTCTGGTACACAGGCAGATTCAGCTTAAGTTCGTGGTCCGGCTCTGGTTCCGGCTCCACCCCCTGCTCCTTTGCCGGCTGGGCGTAGACAATGTGCGCTCCATTGAGCGTCTTCACATTGGAACTGCGCACTGAGGCTGCCGTAACCAGTTGGAACTGGGGCTGGGCCAAGTGATCTGTCCGCAGTTGCACTCGCTCCAGCTCCTGCACTTTGCTCAACAACTTCTGCAATTGCACATAGTCCTGGGGGTGCACCTCGTCCTGGTGCAGTCCATTGCTCCGCTCGAAGTTGTTCAGGGGTCTTTGCTTGGAGGTGGATGCAGCCGTGGAAATCTCCACTGCTCCGCCACCTGGACCGAAGGAGGCCGAGGTCGGTGAGAGTTCTTGGAGGTGGGCAAAGTCGTTGCTGGGCAAGGTGAATCCCGGCCTGGAGCCAGCTACGTTCCTGGTGAGGAAGTTGGGTGGCGTAGTGGGCTGCTGCAGCTGCTCCAACTGCTGAACGCGGGTAATCAAAGCCTCGAACTGAGCGTGATCCACTGAGGGAGTGGGCTTGGGCGTCGTGGCCGTACTCGTGGTTGGAGTGTGGGAAGTTGTGGTGCTAGTAGTCGTCTTTGTCTGCTGCTTCTTCTTGCTGTTCCTGGCCTGCTCGTACAGCTTCTCCAACTCGCGGTCGTCGCTCAGGAGGCGCTGCAGTTGGAGGAGGTCGACGGCACCTAGAGAGTTGCCTTGTCCCAATCCCAAGCCCAGGCCCAGTCCCAAGCCCAAGCCGTGGTTCTTCGAGGGCTTTACGGTGGTGCTGGTTGTGCTCGTTGTGGTCCGGCTGGAATGCTCCAACTGCTGCAGCTGCTTGAGGATTCTTTGCAGCTCACGGGCTTCGTTCTGGGAAGGTGAGGGAGTGGTGGTGGTGCTGGTGGTGGTGCTAGTGGTGCTGGTGGTTGCGCTTGTGCTGCTGGAGGTGGAGAACCGACTACTCAAGGATTGTGCACTCGGTCCGGCTGCCTTAATGACATTCTCCGGGTTGATCTTGAGCTTCTCCAGCTCCTGGAGATTTTGCAACAGCTTGGACAGCTCATCGGAGCTCGTAGGCGTGGTCTGCTGGTTTCCCGCGTTAGCAAAGTTAAGGTCTATGTTCGGATCGATTCTCCTGCGGGGCTTTTTCGCCTCAATGAGTATTGGTTCCCCGTGGGTGATAAGTGGCTTTGGAGCAGGTGTGGTCGACGTGGTGGTGCTTGTTGTGGTCGATGTGGTGGATGTGGTGGTGCTCGTTGTGGTGCTCGTTGGAGCCTTTCTGTTGAGCTGCGACTGTAGTCGCTCCAGTTCCTGCAGGTTTTCCAGCAGCTTGGCCAACTCCACGTTTCCCTTGGGCGGCAGCCGGGCCGTCGCCGTGGACAATTCCGTATGGGCACCAGTGGGCTCCTCGGTGGGCTTCGCCAGTCCCTCCTTCTTGAGTGACTTCGGAGCCTTCTTCACAATACCAAAGCGCGTTAGGTAACCCTCGATTTCGGGCTTCACGCGCAGCTCCTCTCCAATATTCAAGGGCTTGAAGTTTGAGTAGGCCTCCGGCCGGATCCGAGCCCCTTGCAGACCCCGTAGATCGGCCACCGCCACCACGGACGGCTGGGGGGCACTTTCCGCCGGGTAAAAGTCGTCCAGCGCATACCGCTTATGGGCGGAGTCGCTTTTGCCGCCCGACACGATGCCAAGGCTTTCGAGGATATCCGCCACGGGCTTCACCGTGCTGGTGGAGGCACCTTCCCTGGCGGGCCTGGGCTTCCTCAGGAACTGCGCATTCTTGGCACTGTAGTGGGAGCTGAATCGCGTGGCTGGAGATGCGATAGCTGGGGGCGGAGGAGCTGCCGTCGTGACTGGCCTAAAGTCCTGGTAAACAACCGGCGGCGGAGCAGGCGGGTGGTAGGTGGTGGCCATCGGCAGCGGCCTGAACTGCTGCTGCTGCTGCTGCTGCTGCTGCTGCTGGAGAGGACTTGTCTGGGCATGGAGCAGACTGTAGGCTGGCTTGTAGGTGGTAGCCGCCACCGCAGGATTGCCCCCAGGCACCGTACTTCTTGGCAAGGCACTGGGATCCGCGGTGAGGAACTTCACGGGATCCGGCGGTGTGTAGGCATCGATGACGCGGGTCACAGGAGGCCGCGTGTACAGTTCCTGGAGGTTCTCCTCCGTGTTGTTGTCCGTGTTGAAGGGCAGGACGAGCATGAGGGCTCGCATGCTGTCCGCCCGGCTCATGTCCCCCGCCTCCAGACTCTTCTCGTACTCCTCGCGGGTCACCTTCTCGTACAGCTCTTCGATCTCGCCCCTGCGGTAATGGGGGTATTAGAATCGCCCTGCCTTTGGCCAGTGTTCGCCCACTCGGCACTCACCGCGTTAGTCTCGGCAAGGCCGGATCGTTGGCCAGGATCTTCTGCACTTCGTCGATCGTCTGCTCGATCTCCGGCGGCTGGAAGAAGCTCTTGTCCAGCTGCTGCCGATCGTTTCCGCCATGGATGGTGGGCAGGGGCTGCGCCACGCCCATCAGCTGAAGGAGGGCGACCAGCGTCAGGCACTCACGGATCATCCTCAGGGAGCAGGTTGAAGACTGCAAGGAAAACACCGAAGAATATGGTGAATTACATTTCCATTCAATTTTGGTAAATTTGTCCAGTCTTTTATTACGCTTTGTTTTTCAAGGGCACTTCCCAGAACTTTTTTTTCTTAGCTTAACTAGACCTATTGAGATTTATTCGCCATTATTATGTAAGAAGTTATTTCCTTTCGAAATGCGCTGATATGCGGAAGGAACAACATTCCACAACCCAAGTTTTATTATAGATTATTTTAAGTAAAGATAATTAAGAAGCTATAATTCAGAAGACAGCCATAAAAAGTTTGGCCCACTGAAAGTAACTTTGCCAAAAGTCAAAGACACCTTTCCATTTTGTATCTCCATAGACCTCACCCTGTCCCTTCGACTGACCCACCGACCACTCGACTAATCAGCCTATTAACCACTCGTTAGCCGCCGACCGACCACTTCCAGTTCGGTAGCTTCATCAACGTTCATCAGCGTTCATCAGCAATTTTAATAACCAAGAGTTGGCATGTGTGCGGGTTTTTTCACAATCACAGATCGCGACTCCTCGAGCGGATCAGCGGAGTGAGAGACAAAAGTTTCCGCCCAGGAAAAGGCAAATGGGAGAAGTAATAACCGACTGACAAAGAAATCAAATGAAATGCATGACAACATTTTGTCTTAAGCCGACAGCAACGACGAAAGCTGAAAAAATAGTACACAAAGACGGCGACAAATATGTGGACAAGTGTTTATTTAACCAACGAAGGCTGCAAACAAAACGCAACTCAAAATCAAAACACACTTTCTGAGGCAGAGTATGGTGGCAATTACTATCATTCGCTGAGATATTCAAGGATTACGCAACCAGAGGAGAGATCCTAAGATCAGGATGAGAGTGATGCAAGAGTCGATGGCGAGGGAAGTGGGGATGGATATAAAAATTGTGTTGCAGCCTGCAGCGAAGATCTGGTCCACTTTATGACGGCTTTCCGCGGGTCGAAGGAGGAGAAGGAGGGGCCGGTACTTCATCCATCGAACCTATCGAAGCGTTTAGTTTTCACTTAATTGCCGTAGTTAGATCATAAATTAAATGAGTGCCGTAGAAAGCGATGACGAAGACGTTGACGATGTTGTCCAGCAGCGAAGCCGTTAGCGATATGAACTGTTAGATAATCTGGCCAAAAACGAGGCAAGCAGTTATGGCCAAGCTATGCCGCTCTAACTGATCCAACTGAACTGAACTGAACTGCGACTACGTGCTGGGCATTCTAAACGAGCGAAAAACGGGGCGAGCTGCAGTCAAGATTGGATTGAATGGGTTGGAAAATGGGATCGGAATGACGACCAGACATCTCAGAGTACCTCTGGAATGCTGTCGGTTGGGATTTACGAAGTGCGTACTTGTCTTTGTTGAATTCAGGTCTGTCTATGTGGCGAACAGTGATACTTTTAATTAAACACATCTTTTAATCTGGTAAAAAATAATTAAGCTGTTGTTCAGCTCGATTTACGCTTCTACTGTTGACAGTTTGTAGCTCAATCTGAAATGCTTTACTTGCCTTACATGGCGCATACGCAATTTCGCTTTGCATACAGCGATTAAACTTAAATAAGGGGGGAAAATGATTTCCAATTTCATAATCCACTTTGCTCTATGTGCGTGACTTCTTGCGTGTGTATGGGCCGTATAATCAAAACGCAAATAATTTGTTAGCAGCAGCAAGCACACGAAATGTGAGTCAATCTTGGGTGAGTGCATTTCCAATCCAGTAGAAATAGCTACAACGATGGTAATAACGACGCCGCTAGAGCGCAATGAGCACAGAGCCACTGCGCTGTGTGTGTGGTAACAATTAAACATGTGTTAAGTAATTCCAGGCGCCTATTAATATTATTATCTAGTCCCTGGTCGCGTGTGTCTGGGACATCTATCGGGCCAATTGAGCCGATTGCTCTACGTCATTTTCAGCATTTTCCATTCCATTCCATTTCCATTTTTTTGACGTTTTATTTTGCGACCGTTTTTAAATCGGACACTTGTGTGCTGAGGCGGAAGTCAGGCAAAAGTCCGAGTTAAAGGCCTTGATCCGGGTTGAAATGGCAGATGTAGGAAATGTTGAATAATACTCAGTTTCCCCGCTAATATCACTCGACTTCTGACAAGGCAATTAAAGTCAAACTGGAAGCATCTAGCTTATAGAGAGGATGAAGTTGGTAAGGTATCAGTTTTATCCAAATAACATTTTTTAACGGAGGTTTTCTACGAAGATTTATCCGAATAAAAATTGTGTCAACTCATTATAAATAGTTCTATAAGACTTTGAAAATAATTACCGGTATGGAAAGTATGAATCAGGTAGCTTAATCAGGTATCGGAGTAGAAAATAAGATATTTCAATAAGTAATCGTAAAGGCATTACACAAAACGTGACAAGTATTTACTTGTGGCCACATAGCACCCACATTTTGCTCCCAAGCCCTTGGCTCGAATGACTTTAACCCTGAACTTTTACGGCTTTTACAGCCACCTCTTTATCCCCACCCTTTGGCCAACAATCACGCGGTAATTTACGGTAGCAAGCGCAAAAACAGGGGAAACAGTAGACTTCATAAAAACGAAAGACAATTGTCTCCGGCCCAAGCGGCCGCTTCATTAGTTTGGCTTAATCAAGAGCAATGGGCACTTAGCCTTGCTTGAAGCTGGCCAACTGAGGTCAGGTTGATTAACTAGTCATTATTCTGGGCGTAGTCGGGAAGTAAAGTAAAGACAACTAAATGGGAGGAGGGGAAGAGGTATCGTTTCTTGGAACCGTAAGCTCAGAAAAAATGTATCGAAACTGTGTCAAAGACACAGAGCGGCAGCGATTAGGTAAGACTATTTTGTAGACCAACAGACCAAGATCAGCATCTCTAATCCTGTAGAATCTATACAGGCATTTACCTCTATTTGCATAGTTACGAACGGGCCAAATGTGTTTATTATTTGTCTATAAAAGGTATCACTATCGCTTTCAACTAATTCAGTCCAGAGACCAATACCTATAACTAAAACCGTACTAAATAAAGCCTTGAACACTGACGTTCTCTCAGAATGGGGTCACCAAATTCAGTGTTTGCCCCCTCCCTTTCTTCCTGGAAACGGGCTGGGGTGGGAAGAGGGGAGCTCTGAAGGTCACCTGTCTGGCTGCGCATCTTGACGCTATTTCCGGCTCTGGGCTCTGAAACAGCGTTGAGAAAGCGCTGCTCTCACTCCGAATCGGTCGATTAGTAAGTCGGCGGCAGATCCATTCGTCAGAGCTCCAATATCTGCAGCCCCACACCACTTTTACTCGGCCGCCATGTGCTGTGCCCCCAACCATTGCGGTTTTCCTTGTTTCGCCAGTCGGACCAGTGGACCAGCCTAAACTCTTTCTGCAGCGGTGGATTCTATTTGAGCCAACAGCATATGACAAGTGAATGTTGTTTGGGCGGCCAGGAAAAGGCAGTAACTAGCCCCAAAACTGAACCAAGTCGCTGACGAGACGGTTTACTTGGCCAACTGGCTTTGGCTTAACTCGGACTTTGGGTTTGGTTTTGGTTTGGGTTTTGGTTTAAGTTTTGGCTTCACATCGGATACGTATACGGGTTCGGGCTCGGGCTCGGGCTCGTGCTTATTTGGATCTATTTGACTCGTTTATTGGCACTATTTCCAAGTCAATTGATTTCTTGCCTTGGGAGATGCTTAATTATTGTTTTTATTATTGTTCGCTTGCCCCTCTTCACTTTGTTTGTCAAGTTGTTTGGCTCGGAAGCCTGTTTCCCTTTTTATGGGCACTTTCACCAGCGGATTGCCGAAAAAACAACGACGGTAATAATAAATATTAAAACACTTTACATGCCAAATAGCTATTTTCTCATTTTGGCTTTCGGTTTATTTTGCTTTGGCTTGCTGTTATAATAATTTTAAAAAGTGTCGCTGAAATTATGTTGTTTTCGTTGTTTCACTGCCAGTTGTGGTGATTATAACGAAGTGTAATTCACCAGGTTACTTAATGTGACCCACTTCGTTGGGTTGTCTTTTGTTTGGTTAAGTTATTCAATTGGATATAAACTATAGTATTTAATTAAAGTATACGTTAAAGGGTAGAAAGTGTTTTCCTAATTGAGTTACTTGACATTTTTTATGTTATATCCAATATTTAAAGTTCCCTTTTAGCTATCGTATTGTTTTGTATGCCAAAGACTACGTAAAAGAGATGCGTTAATAAACAGTAAAGCTCCCCTATTAGACCTTATTAAAGCTGGCATTGCACATGCAAGTGAATACCACTTTGAAATTCCCTTGTCTCAAGGTCGCTGGGGTGGTGCAGCCAAATCCATTCACGACTCGCGAGTTCGTTCTCTAAGTCTTTTGTTTTTTGGCTGAATTTCACCACCAACAACAGCAGTAATAGCCCGTAACCAGACAACAGTGACCAATGCACCCCTTCGCGGCTTACAGCAGTCAACCATTTTCAATTACATTTTTAATTTTCGGCCGGACACGTTCGCCGATCACTCGAAAACGAAAATTTAAAATCGAATCGAGACGCTTTTTCACAACTTTCAGAGGCGTCAAACTTTCAATGCACACACAGCAAACAGTAAAAAAAATCAAAGAAGGAAAAACCGAAATTAATTCGAAGCAAAACGCGAACACGCGACTAGCGCTTGGCTTCTGTATCGATTTCGGTTCGTTTTCGGGCTCAAGCGCATGCGCGGCCTGCAGACCATTTTCAATGAGCGTTCGTAGCGTACTGAGCCCGGCTGAAAGTCGTCTTAGCCAACTCCGATGCCGCCACTGCTGCCGCTGCCGCGTTTTCTGCTACCGCTGCTGCTGCTGCGACTGGGGTACTAGAAGTCGAAGCCCGAGAATACTCGATCCTGAGTGCATTGCTTTTGGCACTGTTGCACTCATTAAGTTTAATTTGAAATGCATGAAAATTGTGTGTCTAATAGATAGATTGATTCACCTGAAAAGATTACATAAAATAGTTAATTGTTAAATCGCTTTGATGAAGTGATCCAAAACAATGCATTTTAACGGCTTTGTAAACAAATGGATTAATATTAGATTGCAGTATTTCCCTTCGCAATAGGGGGTGCACTTGATCATCATAGATAAAAAAGGCTCCTTTTTAGAGCCTTATCTTGTGTCAGTTTCGAATTAAGTATTTCATCGAAGTATTGCCTTTTTCTCCCTGTGATTTGTATTTGAAGCAGTATTGAATCGCGGCCTGAGGCGCGACCTGTCACCAAAGCAGAGCTCTGATCAGTCGGTCGATCGCCGGCCAAAGTGGCTCGCTCGCCTTGACCAAGTACACTGCGAACCGCGATCAGGTGGAGTTTGGTGGGTCGGGGTCGGGGAAGGTGAGCAGCATTCTGCCGCGGACGGCAGACGGCAGACGGCAGACGGATGCAGACAGGTTTCGGCGGCGGGCATTTCACTTTGGCCAGCAACAACAGCCTCTTCTTGGCTTCTTTCCCCAATTGACAAATTCGATTGGTTTTCTCTCGCTTTCTGCTTTGAAACGCGGAGGGTACAGATTGAGTTGGTTTTTATTACAATGTGGTTGCTTGTGGTCGCTGCTCTGGTTGCATAATAAAACGCACGCACAGGGAGAGTGGCCAGCTGAAGTCCGCCAATCGTCGATGGGCTTCAATGCACTTGACGTCCAGTGGTTCCCATTAGAGTAATTTGAACGCTGTAACCACCGCGATCTGCAGCCTCAGGGGGTTTGACTGCCAAATGGTCAAAGAGTCGGCGGCTTTTGCGGATCGATCTCCAAAAGCAAGATTGGTTCTCAATGTTGGTAGTTTTTGAGGTCTGCCTGGGTTAATTTTTCTTAGCTCTTATTACGGTGAGCTTAAAATCTTTTCGTTGTAATTATTTTTTATAGGACTCCTTCCCCTGAGCATCTCTACAAGCTTAAGTGCTACATTGAGCTAGGCACGTTTGGCTTGAAATAACTTTTAAATTTTGTGGTTATTTGTAACATTTGCCATTTACACACAAAGATGTTTGCCTCCTCGCCGCAAGAAGGGAGGCTGGGGGAAGAGCCACTCCGCCTTTTCGTGTGTGACAGCATTTGACACAATTTAACGCTGACGCGACAAATTCGTCTGCGGTCTTGCTTTGCTGAGCCGTGTGCCGAGTGCCGTGTGCCGTGGTTTTTATTTGGTGCGCTTGCGCTTTGACTTTGTCTTTTGCACACACTGGAATTGCAACACGGAAAACAACAAAGAGACCAAACAAAACTGAAAAAACATTATAACCGAAAACTGAAACTGAAATATGACAAAGCCCATAAACTCTTGACATGACACGGCCAAAATGCTGGGAAGATTGGAGTGGGGCTTGGAATGGAACTTAGGATCGAGTGAAATGTGAAGTGCTGATGTGCCAACGACAGGCTGAATTCTCTGTTCATTATAAAAGTGACGAAAAATCTACCCAAAAATACAAATCAAGTTGAAAACACAGATTTTTAGAGAATTAAACCACGATCATTTTGAGGTATGCCACTTTGAAATCCGATGTCTGTAAAAAAAGTTATGGGCTTAGAAGTGCAGGTTTTATGTGACTTTTCAGGAAAGCCATTTTTCGAAAATTTGGAAAGGGGTAACATCATGAAAATGATGAAAAATCGACCCAAAAATACAAACCAAGTTGAGTATACAGATTTTTAGAGAATTTAACTACAATCATATAAAAGTATGCCACTTTGAAATCCGATGTCTGTAAAAAAAGTTATGGGCTTAGAAGTGCAGGTTTTATGTGCCTTTTCAGGAAAGCCATTTTTCGAAAATTTGGAAAGGGGTAACATCATGAAAATGATGAAAAATCGACCCAAAAATACAAACCAAGTTGAGTATACAGATTTTTAGAGAATTTAACTACAATCATATAAAAGTATGCCACTTTGAAATCCGATGTCTGTAAAAAAAGTTATGGGCTTAGAAGTGCAGGTTTTAGGTGACTTTTCAGGAAAGCCATTTTTCGAAAATTTGGAAAGGGGTAACTTCATTAAAATGACGAAAAATCGACCCCAAAATACAAACCAAGTCAAAAACACTGATTTTAAGATAATTTAACTAAAATCATTTAGAACTATGCCATTAGTAAATCGGATGTCTGTAAGAAAAGTTATGGGCTTAGAAGTGCAGGTTTTAGGCCACTTTTCTTCAAAGACATTTTTTAAAAATTTCGAAAGGGTTGCAAACGTCTGACCTTAGAAAGAATTATGGGCTATTTAAGTGTATAAAAGACGCAACCAAAAGAATCGGCAAATTCAACATATTACGAGTCCCCACAATTTGCTCGCTTCGTTGATAAGGCGTTGGCTGTGGCACTTGTCTCCCTCGCTCCTCTCTTTCTCCGCCTCTTTCTCCGCTGCTGCTTTTACTTTATTCGGCCATTCACTTTCTCCGTGTTTTGTTTGCTTTGCTAATTTTGGATTGGAAACAACAACAAAAACCGGGCTTCCCGCCCAACAGCGAAAAGTGAAACAGACAACCAGCGTTTTGCTGGACGCAAAGTTGCTGCTGTTTACACTGCTGCTGCTGTAAATTCGTATGCAAAATTCCTAGAAATTATCCAATCGCGTGGCTCAGATTATCCAATTGCAGTCCATCCTATCCGATTCAAACATAATCCAATTTCGAATGCGGAATATTCATACAGGCATAAATGCTGATACAGTGTCGGGATTTCGACACCAATGGTGCTGTAGTTCTGGGGGAAAAAACAACCCAAGTAAACACAAGGCAACAACAACAGCAGTAAAACACTTGGCAATGCCAAGTTCATCACCCAAGTCTTTAGATGTTAAAAGCGGCTGCAATTGCCATCAATCCGACAAGAAAAAATGGTTTATCAGCTAAACGTTTAACAAAATTACCCTGTACCTTGGTTGTTTTCTGGTCTTTGAAAAGTATTTCGACCTTAATGGACTAATTTAAAAAAAATAATTTTAATTTTAATTTTTTTTTTTTTTTTTTTTTTAATACCAATTTTTTAAAACCTGTTTCCTTGCTTTGAAATTGTGTGGGCTATCTAAGGAGAACCTAAAAAAAACAGAGATAAAAAGTCCATCCCAGATCTATTCTTTAATTATATAAAAAATTGCCTTACATAAGCCTGCGCCGAGGCGACAGTTGAGAAGCTCATCATAATCCCCCAGCCAAAGTATTCAGTTTTTCAATAAAAACTGAGATCTTAGAAAACCAAATTGTGATTTAGTCACAAACTATTGGATTTGGTGTTTAGTGCGGTCGCTTTAAATTTGGTTATATTTAATTTAGCTATATTTTGATGGAAGCGTGACGCTTGCAAAAAATTCCAAAAGAAAGTAGGCGAAGATTGCAGCGGATTAAAAAAATTCCATAGCTCAGTTCAGAGATTCGCGAATTTAAAAAACCGTTAAAACAGTATTGTGAAGCACTAAAATAGTATGTAAATATTTAACCCGATTCCACGGAACGAATGCACATCCTAAGAAAGGTTTATGTTTATATTCCTCATTTACTTAAAGCAAACTTAAATTAATATTTATAGTTACTTGAAAATTAGTTTTTAATTTTAAATTAGGTATGGACAAATATATATTCAGCCGCTGTGAATGAATACTGAAATGGTATTAATTGTATATTTCCGTTAGTACGACAGTATGTCAGAGGCGCGTGTCTGGCCACACTCTTCAGGCCAGCTGTTCGCGCATGCATGTGTGGGTGCGGATTTATTCATGCTAAATGAAAATCGCCAGTTTTGGGGGATATACGATTTTACATAAGTTGGTCATGCCCGCACAAACCTAGCGCCACAGATCGAGATCGATCGGATCCACCTCGCCATCCTCTCATCTCCGAAAATCGGAAGAAGAATAAGAAGACGACTGCCCTTGTGTGAGTGTGTGTATGTTCTTGTGTGTGTATGAAAAAGCAGCAACTGAAAATATAACCAAAAATAAATCCGAGGTGCACAGTTGCAGGCGAGGATTCCCACTCCTATTCCCATTCCTCCAAGAGGAGCAGCCAGTGCCCCGTGAGACCCCGTCGCTTTACCGCATTTCCGAAGGTTCAAGCCAGGATGGCGGATGCCCAGGCAGTGGCGGCCGGAAAGAAAAAGTACAAGAACAAGAAGAAGGCGGCGGAAAAGAATCCGAGTTCCAGCGACCAGGTTGAGGCACCCAGCAATGGACATGACCAGGAGGAGGAGGCGGCTCATCAGGAGGTGGCGGGGCAGGAGCTGAGGGGTCTACTCAAGCAACTGCACCTCTGCAATGGCCATGGCCCCAAGGAGCAGACTCCTCCGTCATCGGAGGTACTCAATGGCCATGCACATGGCCACAGCAACAACAATCACATAAGGAGCACTAGCGGTAGCAACAACAACAACAGCAGTCACAACAACAACAGCGTTGATAGCAGCAACAACAACAGCAAGCAGGGAAGAGAAGGTGTCGAAGCAGATGCCCTCTATCCGGAGGAGAAGAAGCCCATAATAGCCACAAGCAAGACCACTGCCAACACACAAACAACCACAGCGACGGCCACAAAGACAACAGCATCAGAGGAGGTGGTAGTGGAAAAGCAAGTGCAAGTGGCGACGGAGAGTGGCAATAGCCAAGTGGTGGAGGGGGAGGAAGAGCCGCTGCCCTCCACCTCAGTGGAGGCCACGCCCACCATCACAGCAGAGCCCCAGCTGCCAGAACCTGCCATTTCAGCCAACGAGATCGTGTACAAGGAGTACGAGGCCGAGCACCAAATGCATGTGAGTAGTATCCCCCATCCCGGCTGAGGTAAATACTAATCCCCCGCGCACACACAGGACATCATGCGACTGATCCAGGCGGAGCTGTCCGAGCCCTATTCGATATACACGTACCGTTACTTTATCTACAACTGGCCAAAACTCTGCTTCCTCGCCTCGCACGACAATCAGTACGTGGGCGCCATCGTGTGCAAGCTGGACATGCACATGAACGTGCGGCGCGGCTACATTGCCATGCTGGCCGTGCGGAAGGAGTATCGCAAGCTCAAGATCGGCACCACACTGGTCACCAAAGCCATAGAGGTACGTTGGCTGGGAACTGTCCTCCAGTACTGGAAGTGGTGGGAATTATAAATTTCCGATACATACATTCTTAAGCGTATAGCACATGATAGTATTGAACAAAATTAAATATTGAGTAAATTTGCATTACAATTCAACGATAACTGGATACTGAATAATAGGAAGTATTAACTAGCATCTCTAGGTTTAATTTTGACAGGACACATGATAAGCAGAAAGTATAATTTAAACAAAGAATAGTAAGAACAATAACCTCGGAAGGTACACACCCTAGGCACTGTTTTGGTTTAGGAAATGGTACTCCTCTTATTATATAAGCAATGCTCAGCAAACTCTTATTATAACAATATTTCCGTAACCCTTTTTGCAGGCCATGCTGGCGGACAATGCCGACGAGGTAGTTCTAGAGACGGAGATGCGGAACGAACCGGCTTTGCGGCTGTACGAAAACTTGGGCTTCGTGCGTGATAAGCGGCTGTTCCGCTACTATCTCAATGGAGTGGACGCGTTGCGGCTGAAACTCTGGTTCAGATGAGCGGATCCGGCGGCTGCCGTTGAAATTGTTGTCTAAGTAGCCGCCGAACATGTCGAGCTCCGTACTGCAGAGGAGCAGGGCGCATGCCCGCTCGCCCTGGCCAGCTGGCAGCTTGTTTCGGCGCCCTCTTTTTTGTACCTATTAACTAGGAAGCATCGTAGCATCAGTTTTTTTTCTGCCTCATCTAACCCTGCCCCTTGTCTCTCTTTCAAGTGTAAATTATTTTATTATGTAGCAGCAGCAGCAGCAAAACCAACATCTGCGGAAGATCAGATCAAATCAGTTTACAATGGACCCAAAATTATATTAATTTTACAGAAGGCAATTTTGTATGCAATACGTGATTTACATGCATAAAATTAAAATCGTAAGCGAGAAATTAGTTATGTACATTAAACAATCTACAAAAATCAATCTAGACAATAGACAACAACAACATGCAGCAGCAGCGCAGCACACACACAAAGCTATAAACATAGAATCAAATTTTGTAAAAAGATTGATCAAAAGCGAAGATCACGCAAAAGAAATTGTAGGAATCACACGAGTAATGTATATCAAAATAAACTCAATTGGAACAAAGAGCAAAGAACATTAACACACTTGCGACACTCACGGCATATTGTAGCGTTATATATATATACCTACATACGATAAATACTTGATCCGTGCGGATAACACAACTCGCCATCTGGTCTTCTATAACATCTCTGTGCTCTCCAGTGTTGTTATCGCCTGAGATCAGGACACAAGTACAGATACGTATAGCGATAAGGATAAGGATGTGGTGAATCCCAAGTAACATTGAAAGAATGCAATAAAAACTTCAACTATTACGAGAAGTGTGACTTTTGCTCCTTGGTTTCCGTGAATTTTGGCGATTATCTGGGAAATGTGTTTCTTTGCCTTAGTATTTGGTAATTATATTTTGTGTTTTTATTTTATAAAGAGAAATATTACAATTTTAACTAGGAAAGTAACTTCTTATCAGAAAGTTAAATTTGTTTCATAACCTTAGTATTTGGTAATCATGTTTTGAATTTTTGTTTTATTGCTAGGAAAGTAACATCTCTTCACAAAATCAAATTAGGATTACTAATGGCTAACTGGCTTGACAATTTCGGTGTCTTTCGTCATACAAAAATCGATTAAAATACTCAACATTGGCGCGATTCTAGACTTAAGCTTACTTAACAGGTTTAACAGTTTGAACAACATTCAGTTGGTCCAACTTGACCCACATTTGGATGTGGAGTTGTGGTTAATCCTACGTATGTACAAGATCAGTGCCAGTTTTTGTAGCATCACCTGTTGCTCCTTCGGTTTTTGGGACTGTTCGTCGAAACGGAGCTCGCTGATCCACGGAGCTGCTTCAGCTCGGAGCGGGTTGCTTCCTTAATGCTCTGCACCTGCTGTCGCACAGAGGCATTATTGTAGGTGATTGCTGGCGTCGGAGGATTTGGGCTGGACATTGAACCGGCCTCCTTCTGCTCGAAGAGATCGCTGACCTCCACCATGCGCGGCTTGAAGAACATGTTCGGCCGAATAACGGCCCTTTCGGGGTGCTTAAACAAGTTCAGCACTCCCCAGGAGAGCTCCCGGCGTTCGCCTTCGCCGTCCGGAAGCGAGGCATTTTCCACCTCCGACTCCAGAACCCAAGCCGCGTTCCGCACCTCGATGCGCAGCCGCTCGCATTCCTCCAGGCTCACATTCTTGCTCACGTTGAGCAGCTGCTCCAAAGGGTTCACGATGTACATAGCCGAGTGGTCCGGCTTGGACAGACCCCTTCCTTCGTTCAGCGAGATGGCCCGGTTATGGAAGTCGAACTGCGAGTAGAACTCGAAGAACTGCAGCAGCAGTTCGCTCATCGAGCTCTGGTTCCGACTTCTAAAGCCCAGTCGCTCTACATTCCGGGCGAAGGAGCAGCTGATCCCATCCTCGGTAACCCGCGAATCCCCTGGCTCAGCTGACTTCGCCAGCGCTCCAATGGTGGGCAAGATGGGCTGGCGCAGTTGCTGTAGAAAAAACATGACAAGACAGGTCAGCGAGAAGTTGCTGATCCACCGACCGGGGGAGGGATTCGTTAGGCCACAAGACTGCGCCCAGCGCCGGATGCTGAAGGTCAGCGGACGCACGCGCGGATCCATTTCGCCGAACATGTACAGCAGCTCTGACATGTAGAAACCAGTGCTGGAAGAGGGATTCTGTTTTAAAACCATTAAGAAGAAATGCATTTCATGTTAATAGTAAGCCCCTTAAAAGTGGTGAATCAAAAGCGGGCGTGGCTCTTTCATTGAGCAAATTTAGGGAGTGGAGCCCGGAGAACTGACCCCCACCATTCGCCGGATATGAGGGAAATGGGGTGCTTATCAGAGGCGGGTGAATAGTGAATCATGGCCAGGGAAGGCAGCCCCGCGAGAAAGAACTGATTCACCTGCTCCGACGCGAGAGTGGAGTGGTATTTACACGGCATTTGGCAATCGCCACCTGTCGCTATCTAATCTTATCGAGCTCACGAAGCTTTCTTATCTAAGGCCGCTCTCCCTGCTCGACTGTACGGCCCAACTGGCTGGATGTTGTCATCACCACGTATCTCAACCAAACGGCGAGTTTGGTCAAAACTATTTCAACGAACCAACCCAACGGATCTCTGTTTCTGGTCCCGCTACTGCGCAACCTATTTTTTCTGCTGACCCATTAAATCGATCAAAACAAGGGTAAACATAGTGAATGTGTATAAGAATTTAAAGTGCTATATAAAAAACTAAAGGAGAAACTCTATTTTTTTATGTGCTGTTGAAAAAGTGTTGAAAGTTGCTATGAATACCACACCCAGAAGATATTTTCCTATTGATATATAAATACCATGCAAAGTGCATTCTTGGTGCCATGAAATAGAAACTCTTCTCTACTTCAGAAAGCTCTCCATCTTCAAACTTGAGGGTTTATAAATCTTCTGGCGAATTCAGAAATACATTTAAGTGTTTAAAAAAAAGTGTTCCTTTATAGATCCTGAAAACTCTGTGTTACCCTCCCGTAAACCAAATTTTCTTGCTCTTTTCAATTCAACATTATTTTCAATGCAATTGTTCGTATTAATCATAAAATGCGTGGCTGATAACGCTATTTGCTAAACACCATTTCGATAGGGCCAACAGTGATCTAAAGGGGGGCAGGAGAGGGCGGGAAGAATTCACCATAAATGCCATCTAACATCGTGATTAATAAACGCGATCAGAGCGAGCTTTTGGTATGTGTGACTCAAGGCAGTCGCGGCAAGAAGAACGTGAAGAACGTGAAAAACGTTTAAGTACCTTCATTTCTTCTTAAAATCAGGGATCATTTTAAAGACTTGCTTAGTTTTGCGCTCATGGATATCATTGCTTGTCAAAACTCTAATTTTTTACATAGTCTGTATCATATAATTCGATTTAATATTGTATCTTTATCGAAAAGTCAAGAGATTCCAAGAGCAAGCATATACGCTGTTTTATCAGTAGAATCGTTTAACTATAAGAGTTTTGGTTTGGTATAATTCATCCATTATTTTGGCGATTAGTTGTTTAGTAGGGAATAACTCCATTTTATTCAGTTTCCATTGAATCCGCTAAATGATCCTTTTTCTTTCTATTTAGCTCCTGAACCATGGGTATCGGCTATGGCGCATCAGATGAACAGCTGGAAAAGCAGATCGGCTGCGTAAAGTACACGCTTTTCTGCTTCAACATCGTTGCCTGGATGATAGCGACGGCGCTGTTCGCCTTGACTGTCTGGCTGAGAGCTGAGCCCGGCTTCAACGACTGGCTGCGCATTCTGGAGGCACAGTCCTTCTACATTGGCGTCTACGTGCTCATTGGCATCAGCATCGTCATGATGGCGGTCAGCTTCCTCGGCTGTTTAAGTGCGTTGATGGAGAACACCCTGGCGCTGTTCGTGTTCGTGGGCACCCAGGTCTTCGGGTTCATTGCCACGGTCGCCGGATCGGCGGTCCTTATGCAGTTCAGCACCATTAACTCCAGCCTTCAGCCCCTTCTGAATGTGTCGCTGCGCAGATTTGTGGCCACCTCTGAGTACACGTACTCCAACTACGTGCTGACCATGATCCAGGAAAACATCGGTTGTTGCGGGGCCACCGGGCCATGGGACTACCTCGACCTCCGCCAGCCGCTGCCCAGCTCCTGCCGGGACACCGTTAGCGGTAACGCCTTTTTCAACGGATGCGTGGACGAGCTGACCTGGTTCTTCGAGGGCAAGGCCGGCTGGATAGTGGCCCTGGCCATGACCCTCGGCCTGCTGAATGTCATCTGCGCAGTGATGAGCTTTGTCCTCGTGCAGGCGGTCAAGAAGGAGGAGGAGCAGGCCAGCAACTACCGCCGTTGAAGTGCCCAGTCTAGTTAGCTTAGTTAGTAGCGACAAACGACCCTGCGATAGATCTAAGAATTCATACCCAGTTCGAACAATAAGTACAATAAACATTGCGACCCCTACGAGTGAAGGTTTTGTGGAGGATGGGAAGGCGAGCACAGATTGAAAATCAGTTTGTTTTACAATGGACAGACAAATACAGGCACTCACAGGTTGCTCATGGACAGGTCCACCTCCAGGTCCAGGTGCTCGTGGTGGTACTTGATGATGGGTACCCTCGCCTGCAAGATGCGCCGCACATGGCAAACGCCCGGCAGAAACAGGTGCAGCATGTCTCCGAAGCACTCCATGTGCCGCTGCGTCTGCGAGCGGCCGTTGCTCAGGTTCTCCTTGGTGTGGAAGACCAGCCGTGAAGGTTCCGACGCCTCCAGCGGGCTCTTGGCCCCCATATCATTGTCAAAGCGCAGGATGAGGTCCAAGTCGCAACCCATCCGTCCGAATCCATTGACCGAGGAGCCAAAGGGATGGGCCTGGGCGGCGGGGAACATACCGGCAATGGCCAGCTGCACCTGCAGGGCTGCCAGGAAACGTATGCGGATGCCTAGCTCGTTCAGCCGTGTGTGCTCGTGCAGCAGCTGCACCTGCTCCTCGATATCCCGCGCACTCCGCATCAGTTCCAGGAGATGGGCCTGCTCAACTTGCCGAGTGCCGTCGAGTGAAACCAGGTGGGGCATGGGGCTAGGAGTCAACTTGGGGCTACGTCTCCCACCTCCCGCTGCGGCTGCCCGGAACCATAGAAACGGCGATCGCACGGGCACACCGGTCAGCTCGCCGTTGGTCACCCCTGCACCAATAGCCGCCTCTGCTTCGCCCGGCGTGGCGTACTCCAGCAGGACGTAGTGCAGGGCCTCCTCCTGGCGAACGCAATAGTGGTGGGCAGCCAAGATCGAGCCGAAGCGGCTGCAGTAGTTATACAACTCCGCATACGACTTCTCGGAGCTCACCTGCACCACAATGCTGCGCCGGGCCTGCCGCTGGTGGTGCCCAATAAACTCCCCATAGTTTGACTTCCCTACGGACAGAAAGAGTACGTCTGTAGCACCTTTTAACATCAGGGCTCTCCGCCAGAAACGACTCACCTGTATTCCGAGTGGCCGAGGCAGCCTCCGGAGCGTTGTGTTTTACGCAATATGTACGCCAGAGGCTTAGCTGCTGGGTGCGGCGCACTAGGCTGTTCATGGCAGGTGTGGGTGGCGGGCCGGTCAAGTCCTAGACCCGCTTCGTGTGGTTGAAATCTGGAACTTAACCGAATTTTTGTGCACTCTACTTTTAAGGTTAGGTTAAGCCGGTTATCGAACACAAACAACTGGTGTGCAGCCCTCGAAAGTTATCGATTGCTGCCTTTGGCGCAACATTCAAATCGCAACCGGAAACATTCTTGATTTATCATACTTTTATTAAACGTTTCAGTTATTGTGTTATATTTTGTTATTACATGCGGGTTTTCCGTGGGATGCACTCTTGCCGTACGACTAAGATTAATTAGGCTAAACACGTACAAAAACAGGATACGATCGCGTATATTTTCTAAATATACATTATCTCCTTTCCGCTCCTGGGTCGGTTACATTTAATCAACATGTGGTGTATATATCGTAAATATGTGTGTGATATATATACATTAATTGGGTGTATATGGGGGGCTTTAATATCGAGGAGGGAATTCATTCTATGGCCAATTCCAAGCAATATTGGCGAAGAAACTAGAGGTCATAAAGTCCCGTTTGACCTACAGTTTTTTAAATAGTAGTCAAACGTGGTTCTAGACCATTAGATTCTTCGCCAAACTTTTTTTTTGCTTTCCCCCTACGATTTCTAATCATTTTCGGGTCCATACAAATTGACCCACTCTGGTGTTTATAGAGTGCGTTTATTATTATGTGATATATCTGCGGGATTCTTATGCCGATTTAATACGTGAATTACGGGTTTATATTATCAATTAAGTCTGTTATTGTTCATCGAGATGCTAATACAGGGTACAGCTTAGGTTAGGCGTTGTGTGGCATGTTGATTATGTTCTCTTACAATTTCATTGTGCTTTTTGGGTGTTCGTCTTAAATGCAATGGCGCCAAATCATCGAGTTTGATTTCTGGTTTCGGTTTTTGGTTTACTTATTATCTCAGTATCACATATGTCTCTTTAAAATGCGTTTTGTGTGCGGAAACACCAGAAACATATCCAATTAGCAACAATTTATATGCTTTTGATCAAGAAGTAATAGGTTTTACAGAACTCCGCGATCAAGGAACACATCGAAAGCATGCGAAACTTAAGATTACAATTAAATAATTAGTAAAATGCTTTGAGCTGTTGTGTGTGGTGTTGGGTATGTGCGTGTGGGCGGGGAAGTGGGTAGGGCGGTGTTTAGTACCGGACTGAACAACTGCGGTCAAAATAAAAGCCTCACAACTTTAACTTTGATTTGTATCTTATCATTTATAACTCTAACAATACGATCTTCTTCAGAAACCAAAAAGTTATTTTTAAGCAAACTAAAATTTGTTTATTAAATCACATTTCAATGTTCCTAGCCAGCTCCGTACCCTTTTTCTATAAAAACAAAATTAACAATTGATTAATTTTAAAAATTTGATTACTGCCAAAGGCCGAATAATAATTCATAATTTTTAAAACAGCTTAATGCAATTTTCTTATATAATTTCAACGTTCTCATTGCGTAAAAACTCAACCATATGGAGCACTAATGGGAAAATTCCAATAAAATGTGTCACGCCGACTTTAAAATGATTTAAACAAGAAAACTATCTAATTTAAGGGGCTACCATTGTGACCGCAGTTGTTGCTATTCTTAGCTATACATCCAACACATCATTACAGATACACAAACATACATAGCGAATAAATATGTAGAGTATAGGGTTTAGTTTAGTTTGGTTGCTTTGCTGCCTTGACTTCACTTTAGTTTAGCTTAGTATTGTTTAGCGTTAAAGAAATGCAGTCGACTATTGCTTTCCACAGCCACGCCCCTGGTCCACCCGCCGATCCCCAATTCAGATCCTAGATGTCATCGATGAGGCGGCCCTCGATGACGGACGAGTGATGGTAGTTGGGTCGCGGGCGGAAGTCCTCATTCTGTTCGTTGAGCTGCGTGGGCGAGAGATCCACGCCAGGGCACGAAGGCGTCACCACGATCTGTTCGTACTCATTTATCCGTTTGCTGTGCACCAAAAAGAGGGAGACGGCATTCAGATGGGAACTCCGGTAATCGGTGTCGCAGTTAAAACTTACCCGAAGCACCGGAATATGACGCTTTTTAGCCAGGCGAAGAAGTTAAACTCCGCAGTGAGGCCTGGCTTCACAGCCGGATTGGCAGTACCCACATAAAACCACACAACGAACACCACCAGGAAGCAGGTGAGGGCATAGTACCAATTCACCAGCAACATGACCAGCAGCTTGGTGAAAGCCTACAAGGGGATTAGAAGATACAAATGAGCAAGCCCAATGAAGCTTCTTGTTGTAGACTCACCCCCAGCAATGAGGCCCACCGGTTGCAGTAGCCGGAGTACCAGTTTTTCGTCTTGGAGTGGATGGGCGGGCGGATTGGTGCAATCGGTTCTGCCTCATCTTCCTGCTCCTGATCCTGCTCGCTGGCGCCCTGCCCGGCTGCTTGCTCAACTGCCAGTGTCGTATCCGCTTCGTTGCCCACCCTCGATTCTGAGGAATTCAAAATATGCGCTTGGTGGGAGGTGCTGGGGCCCTCGGTGTTGAACTCCAGCGGTACGGTCTGGTGCAGCGGTGAGTTCTGCGGACTCTGCAAATTCTTGTGGCGCACCCGATCGGGGAATAGCAGGTCCAAATCGTTGCCAGTGTCTGAAACACTTCCGTAGCGACGCGTCTCGTAGCTGGGACTCGAGGCCTGGATGCGAAAGCGTTCCTCGCGCTGCTCCTGAATGTCGAAGGTCTGGGCAAGCGCAAAGTATGCGTAGTCGATGCAGGCATACGTCAGCAGGAAGGGCATGGTCACGATGGGCGCCAGAAAGTTGATGTCACCCACGATAATGAAGGTGACTGTGACCAAGGCCACGATGGCCATGGCGTATAAAGGCACTTTGTTGGGACCTCGCTGGTAATTAAAGGGGGAAAGATTAATAATTCTGTTTATGTTTATACAAAAAATACATATAATTGCTCATCATCGCTTTATACTTACGCCTTTTCCCAGGATATCAATACCCGGAATGACGCTCTCCTTGGCAATGCTCTGCAGGACGCGCGGGGTACCGTACATGGCACCCAGGCAAGAGGACATGCTTGACACGTAGATGCCAGCCAGCAGCAGGAAATGCGCGGCCGACACCTTGACGGCGATCATGTAATCCGTATACAGGTTGTCCCGCAGGCAGGTGGCACCCAAAAACAGCACAAACACCAAATACAGGAACGTTCTGCAAAGTAATGAGACATCAATAGGTATTGCCAAGAGATTTCTTAGAGTAAAAGATCCTTACGAGGTGCCGAAGGCGGCCAGGGTGCCATTTGGAATGTCCGTAGAGGGAGCGCGTAGGTCCCCGCTCATATTGATGCCCGAGAGCACGCCGGTGACGGTGGGGAAAAAGACGCCAAACACCCGGAACCATGAATAGCCGTCGTCATACTTCGGCCACAGGTTCTCCACAAAGTTGCCGCTCATCCAGCCGTTAAATCCAGCGCCTATTATAGAAAATGGAAGCCAGATTGATTACCGCAAGTTTGTTAAGATTAAAACTTAAAGCATTGAAAGAATAATCCAAAAAACAGACTTGTTTTTAAATCTGTCTTATTGGCCAAAATACAACACTCACTGGCCTCGCTGGTGAAGCTGCCCACCATGAAATCCAGCGCCGAGATGAGCAGTATCATGAGTAGAATGAACTGCAACTTAATGACCCACTTGACGCCGGCCACGTTAATGCAGCCCAGCAAGAGCACAGCCGCTGTGGCAAAGCCTCGGATGGCCCACTTGCTTCCCTCGAGTCCTACGAGTCCGGCCATCGACTCGCCGAATCCCATCACGTTGAGGGCGCAACCCACTGCCTGGCCGAAGCAGTAGAGCAGTCCCAGAGCTCCTCCGAAGCGGGAACCCAGAGTGTGTGCTATAAGAAAGTACACTCCGCCGCTTTCCACGCGGCACCGCTCGCAGATGCCAATCGCCGACAGCACGCTGACCAGAGCGATCACCACCGTGCAGAAGATGATCAGCACCGCGTTAAGAATGCCCGCCTGCGCCACGATCCATCCGGATCGCAGGAACACGATCACGCCGAACACGTTGATCAGGCAGGAGGTGAACACTCCATCCCAGGTGCCGAAGAGCACAGGCTGCGAGATAAAGAAGTTGGAGCGCCACCTGTTGAGGGTTAGGCATGAGATCCAGACCGAAAGGGATTCCTAGTTACTTACCAGGGCTTGTCGCCCTGCTCGCCCGCAAAGATCTCATTGGCTCCGGAAGCATGGTGGCCACCAGCCGCGTACGTATACTCGTTGCCCAAATCCACGAATCCGCCAGTGTTGTTGTTGGTCCGCTGGCGGAAACTGGCCACCGCTACATCGCCATCCTCGTCGCCTCCGAGTCCGAATCTCTGCCAGTCAACGGTGCGCCGGCCCCCGGTCCCGTTACCTTCCGAGCTATTACTCATCCCCGGTCCGCTTTCCCCGTACCGCTCGTTCCCACGCTTATTGTTGTTGCCGCTTCTGCCGTGTAGCGGTATTTGCGTTGTGCTGTTGTTCTTTCCGCCGAAAAAGCGGGTTATCTGGCGACTACTCGGGTGTAATCGCAGCAATTAACTGATGGTTTATTGGTTTCTTTTCTTGGCGTTGAGTAACCACTCCTGCACCATAACATCCAAGCACATCCACGCAGGCAACCTCTAGAAAATTAACTGTAGACCCTCTGGCGGCGCGGATCGGCCCATTTGGCTCACTGACGGCTGGAGCGGGAAACGGCGGGCATCGTCTTGGTCGGACGTGGATGACTTGGATTGGTAAATGCGCAAAAAGTTAAATAAAAACTCTCGCTTGTTGGTAAACTACAAGAAGTCGTCATCGATACCTTTTCGGTGAACAGCGATAGGCGATAGGCAGACTATCAAAGGGCTAGACGAGACCAAAGGCGGACTATTTGAAAATTATCATCGAATTCTTTGTTTTAGGCTGCCCTTTTTTTCGCGCTCCAAGTTCATTTTTGGTTGCAATGCCCTGTCAAAATATATATGTAAATTTAAGCATTTAGTTTTTTTATGCCAAGTCGATAGACGGGCACCTGCAGCGCTACCGGTAGCAGTGGGCGGATTTTTTAAAAATAATATAATCTGCCCCATAATCCTTTATTTGTGTTTTTTTTTTTATTTTTTTTCCCAAGCAAACATTAATTGCAATTTATATTATTAAAATTAAAAAATATGATTTAGAAGAAATTCACTTTCTTAAATTGTTTCCAAGTTTTCCCAACCGATAACTTCGGTTATCGGAAACCTCCCGACCACCGCACGTGTTGACACTTAGTTTTTGATTGCATCGCATCTAAACTGCCTTCGAAATGGCCAAAAAGAAAGACAAGTCGGAAAAACTCGCTAAGAAAACTAAGGAGAAGGCCCCGGTCGCCCAGGTAATCGTGGTCGGCGGCACCGATCCAGAGAGCGGAATCTGGCAGGATGCACGTTTCCAGCACCTCCTGGCCGACCCGCGGTTCCGTGGTGTTCCCAAGGTGCAGCGTAAGGTGCGGATCGACAAGCGCTTCCAGGGCATGTTCACGGACGACAAGTTCAAGGTAAAGTACACCGTGGACAAGTACGGCCGCCCGGTAAACAAGAGTAATGCCGAGGACCTAAGGAAGTTCTACGAGCTAGACGAGAATGAGAGCGACACCGACGAGGAGAAGGCCAAGGAGCTGACAGAGGAGGCAACCAAAACGGAGTCGGATTCGGAGGTGGAAGCGGAGCAGCGGGCCGAGGAGCTGGCCATCGCCAACTTGGAGGAGCAGGAGAACTTGGGCAATGATGTCCTGGACAGCGATGGCTCTGAGGTTCCCCAAAATCTGCGCGAGCGACTGACCAACCCAGACATAGACTACGCCCGCGGAGAGGGCCGCCTTCTCACAGACTCCTCCTCCGAGGAGGAGAGTGACGACGAGGACGGTGACGAGGGCCCGGAGCTGCAGATAGACCACGTGTGGGGCGAGCTTGACAACGATGCTGAAAGCACCGAGGAGAGCTCCCGCCGCTTGGCCGTCTGCAACATGGACTGGGACCGCATACGGGCCGAGGACCTGATGGTCATGCTGAGCTCGTTTCTGCCGCCCGGCGGCAGCATCCTCAGCGTGAAGATCTACCCCTCACAGTTTGGCAAGGAGCGCATGGCCGAGGAGGAGGTGCACGGCCCCAAGGAACTGGTGGAGCGCAGGGAGGATTCGGAAGACGACTCTGACGAGGAGTTGGTTCATCAGCAGGACAGCGACGCGGAGGAGGGCGAGAGTTACCACATGGAGAAGCTGCGCCAATACCAGCTAAATCGCCTGCGATACTATTACGCCGTCGTGGAGTGCGACAGCATCTCTACCGCCGACAAAGTGTACCAGGAGTGCGATGGCATTGAGTACGAGAGTTCCGCCACTCGCGTGGACTTGCGCTTTATCCCGGACGACACTTCGTTCGAGGAGGACACGCCATCGGACGAATGCCACGAGCTACCGGATGCTAGCAGCTATAAACCGCGCCAGTTCACAACCACGGCACTGCAGCAGGCTAAGGTGGATCTGACCTGGGACGAAACGGCGTTGGAACGGCGAGAGTTGGGCGACAAGCTTTCCAGCGGTCAGGTTGACAAGCTTACGGACAAGGAGTTGCGCCAAATAGTGGCTTACAGCAGTGAGGAGGACTCGGGAGATGAGCAGCCAGCTCAAGGCGAGCTACCAGAGAAGTCGAAGGAATCGAAGGAAATTGCCAAGAAGCCCTCAAAGCAAGAGCGCATTGCCACATACAAGAACCTGCTGGCTGACATCCTGCAGCAGGAAAAGCAAGAAAAGGAGCAAAAGTACGAGATGGAAATGACCTGGAACGTGGAGTCTCAGCAAGAAGAGGAGCAGCAAGTGCAGGAAACCCAAGCCGAGCTTACGCCTATCGAGAAGGTGATACAGAAGCGCAGCGAGAAGAACAAGCAGCGCAAGGAACAGCGTCGCCAGCGCCAGATCGAGGCCAGGGGAGAGGATCCTGGTGATGACAGTGATGCCTCCATAGTGCCCGACGGCATTGATCTAAACGACGCCTACTTCGCCGAGGAGTTCGCTAATGGCGACTATGCTCCGCCAAAGTCAAAGCAGGACAAGAAGAAAAAGAAGAAGCGGGGAAAGGCCGATAAAGACGAGGATGCCAAGGCGCAGCAGCAGGAGAAGGAGTTGGAACTTCTGCTGGACGATGGCGACGGACGGGACGAAAAGCAGCATTTCAGCCTGTCCAAGATCCTAAAGGAGGAGCAGGAAGCGGGCGGTACCAAGCGAAAGCGTCGGCAGCAGTTGAAGAAATCAAAGAACAAGCCACAGGAGTCAGAAAAGCCGGACGACGACTTTCAGGTGGACCTGAACGATACGCGCTTTAAGGCTGTCTACAAGTCCCACGAATTCAACATCGATCCCACTCACTCCCACTACAAGCCCACCAAGGGCATGCAGCAGATCATTGGCGAGAAACTGAAGCGCAGACAAGAGCAAGTGGATGGCGGCGCTGTCAACGGAGGTGCGGATGATGATGAACCGGTGGCCCCCAAGCGGAGCAAGCAGCAACTGGAGCAGAATGCCCTCGTCAAGAGCCTGAAACGAAAGATCCAGCAGCAGCAGCAGGGCCAGAAGCATTAATGTTTAATAGATAGAAAACAATAAATTAATAAATAAGTAAATGACATTCGCCCAGACTGGTTTTCTAAATTTTTAATGGAAGAAATCCTTAGTAGGAACATAAACACCCGCAGGTCACAGTCCACAACTTAGTTTATTGCTTAAGTCTAAAAGTACAATCATGACATTTTTTGAGGTTTTCCTATGCAGCTCTAGGGAATCACAGGCTTTACACTTTCTTCTAATTAGCCTTCGCTAGTAGCTGTAGCTGAAGTACTGCTTATACAGCGCCGCAGTGATCCTGCCGTCCACGTGGAAGAGATCAGGCAGACAGACGCGGAGCTCCTGCTCGTATACGACCATCAGCTCACAGACGTGTGCCCACATGGGATCGTAGAGTCGTCGAATCAGCTGGCAGTCGAGCCGGGGACGGACCAGCGCTTGAACCACGGCGTGCAGCTGGACTGGAGTGGCGTTCTTGTCGAGCAGGGCGGCAAAGGGGCTGCGCCCGAGGCACAGCTCGTAGACGACCAGCCCCAGCGACCACACGTCCGACTTGAAGTCAACCTTTCCCTGGGTGGACATCGTCTCCGGAGCCATGTACATGGGTGTACCCATGCCCGCCTGCAGTTGGGTGCTGGGCGCATGCACGTTGGAGATCCCAAAGTCGGCGATTTTGACGCGGTCAGTGGCGTCGAGGAGCATGTTCTCCGGCTTGACGTCCCGGTGGATGACGCAGCGAATGTGCAGGTACTCCAGGCCCACGACCATGTCGCGGAAGTAGCGCAATAACCGCTCCTGATGGACCCCTCCCGTTCCCGGGCGCAGCTGCTGGATGACTTCCCTCAAGGTTCCATTGGGCACGTACTCCATCACTATGTTAACCGTGCCCGCGTGGCTAAAGGAGCGCAGGAACTCGACGATGTGCGGGTGGCGCAGCTGCGAGATGATGTACACCTCCTCCTTGATAAGTCCGAGCTCAGCTTTGGGGTTTCGGACGATGATCCGCTTGACGCACACCCTCCGGTCAGGTTGACCGCGTCCCTCCTGCTGATGGCAGAGGAACACTCGACCGAAGGTTCCCTGGCCCAGTACGCGGACCGCCCGCAGCTTGGAGTCGCCCAGATCCATGTCGAGTGCAGAGTGCTTTGGGGGAAGATTGCTAAATGCCTTGGGTTTACCGTTAAAACAAAGCTGCGCACGCGCTCCTAGTGCCGATTGTTCCCAGAACCAGAGATGCACACTACGCAGCGGGAAAAAGACGCAAAAAGCTGAGTAACGTACATACATATTTATGTAGATATAAAATAAAATAATTGTGTAACTATGTAAAAAATTATTGTTGTACATATATTACATACATTTCTTTAATTAATTCAAAAGCGTTTGACAATAAAACTACTTGACTAGCTTTCAATCAATTTTATTTGGCATCATTTTTATTGATATTCTCAGGATACGCTAAAATTGGGAGGACTGCCCATAGCCGATATATTACTTAACCGATCGGTGATCGCTTAATCTTGGCGTGTTTCTCTTTGATTTTGCAATGGGAGGAGAGCTTCCTGCCGATTTGGGTGTTATATAAAGCGATTTATCACCAGATCTATAATTAAAACTGCTCTTTGCTGGCGAGACAAAGCTCGACAAAGCGGTATGAGTCGTGTGCATGTCGGACATGAATTTTTGCAGACTGGCGTGGTGACGTGGTGCGTTATGGCTGTTATGCAAATCGTGGGGCTTGGAAAGCAGTTTACTTTTACTTTTCAAATCGATTATATGTGCACACAGCCGCCATTTCGTGTGCGCCCAGAGCACACTAACCCACAAATCGGCTGCAGTTGTTTTTCACATTGGGAACGGAATGAATTTTGGGCCTTTTCGCGAGCTTCCCATGTAAAGTCGTTCAACTGCCGCTGAGCCATTATCTAATGGTGTTGTGCTGCATTTTAATTGCTCATTCGATTCAAATGGGATCGAATGGATGTGGAAAGCCGGCGGCAATTATCGCTAAGAGTATACTCACCTTTCACCTGCCACGCCCCTACGAGGGGAACGCACTTGCAGTTGGCAGCAATCTCCACTGAAAGAGCCCCTTACCCCAACTCAATCCATCATTCATCATCGGAGACTGGCCCATCAAGGGGATCAATAGTTGCAACAGTCGGCAGCAGCGCGGAAGCTGTCTATCGTCAGAATTGGGAAAGCACTTGGCGATTGCCTAAAGAAACCTTATTCAGATAGTAATAACAGATATTATAAATATATTTGTCTCTTTAAAATTCAGATTTTAAAATAAGAAAGAACGAAAATATAGTTAAAAGAAATGCGAAACCCTGTGCCCATCATTTTTGATCACAACTATTTAAGTGATAACCAATTGGCATCGATTACATTGGCCTTCTCTTTGGTTTTTTTCCATTTTCGTTTTTTTTTGTGCCCCTTATTGCCTTGCACTTGCATCGAATCTATGACTGGGGACTGGTTTGTAGTTGGGTGGTTGTTAACCCGTTAATTACCAACTGGTTTTTTCTTGTGCAGGAAACTGGCCGCAGCAGCAGTAAAGGCCACATGCCGTATACGTAATTCGCCTTTATTGGACCACTATCGCACGCACCTATTTACGAATGCCCGTGCCGAATTTTCGAATTTTCCAAACAATTGTGGCAGACAGCGGCCATAAATTACAACAACAGCCCGCGACTTTGGCTGAAGTTCGTTGCCGTCGTGTTGCTGTTGCACATTTCACATTTCGCTTGCCACAGGTTGGCCAGCTTTGGGCCGGGTATAAATCGAATCTGGTCCCGAACACAGAGCTACATTCAGCCCGCCACTGCTAAGGAGGCCACTTCGCGTAACGGTCTACAGCTTTGAATATTTTTTTGATTGTGATTCAGTGTGTGAAACGAACATCCGCAAAACCATGCTGAAATTTATTGTAAGCATTGGAATATATAACTATATATACCAGGACTAAAACTTTATAAAAACAAAGGATTCTCCACTTAAAGCACTCTTTAAATTTATATTTTTTAAAGCCTTGTAGTTACAAATAACAAGGAAATACAAGAATCTTAAAAGATGTGATTGAATTATTTTGAAATAAGAGCGTCAACATAAACTCAAAAAGCGTAAATAATAAATATCGTCTTTATTGCATTGTGTGATTCATTTAACTGTAAAATACCTAATTTAATATTTAATTTGGTTTATCTTTTATTTTAAATTTAAAAATCTTAATGGAAATATTTTATAAAAATTTTAAAAAAATCGATCTTAAATTTGGGATTCCTAAGACAAAATTCTATAACCAAATACCATTTTTAAAATCAAAAATATTTGCTAATACTCTTACAGATTCCCTGCCTGGCCCTACTTGCCGTTAGTGGAGCTCTGAAGATCCACGACTACCACCAGGGCCACGAGGAGTACGAGCATCACGAGACGGAGCATCACGACCAGTACGAGCCGGAGCACGAGGAGACGGAGCTGCACCACGAGGTGGACCATAAGCACGCCACGTCGCACCAGAGCGTCAAGTTCCACCACTACCACGCCGTGCCCGTCTACATCAAGAAGGAGGACCAGCACCTAGTGAAGAAGCCCATCGAAATCGGCGGCACCAAGCAGAAGCTGAAGATCCTGCACCCGAAGAGCGAGCACAACCACAACCACGGCCTGGTATTGGAGTCACACAGCGAGTCGCACGTCCACGAGCACGGCCACTATGAGGAGCCGGTGCACCATTTGGAGCACTACTCGCACCACGAGTAGGACTCGGAAATGCCAAATGAGATATAGGGTTTTCGTTAGCGTTTAAGGCCTTAAATTACGTTAATTTTCTTGTGTTAATAAAGCGTTCACCTAGATTGCTATCCAGAGTTCTTTTATTGTTTCAACTATTATCATAAATTGTTTCATTTTATTGTTTCTACAGTTGAAATAATTTGGAGGTAAATTTAATTATTTATCAAAAAAAATACTGATGTTTTTATTTTTAAACAACCTCCATGTTTTAAAATCTTATTAGCCGCCAATGGTGCGTCTTAACATTTCTGTTAGAAAAACGTTGTGTTTCAACACAGCTCTGTTTTATCGATCTTAAAAATAAAATGGAGTTGCTTTATTAATTATGTCAAATTAATTATGAAAAACAATCAAATATAAAGGTGGTTATTTACATTAAGCGCCCGATTGGGCGGTGTTCAGGCAAATATATAATAATAAATAATATTTATCCCTCAACTCTACAAGTATATATATATTTGTACCTTTTAAAATTTCCTTCAATTTTACATTATATATTTCGGCGGATTATTAAGGCAGGCTTGCACCTTGTTGGCGCCCAAAACCTGATTTTTTTCTGGAATTTATTTCTTGGAAAGTATGGTAGGTATGGGAATAAAATTTTAGCCAGTTGTAGGGTACAGTTTATTGAAGCTACACAATTTTTTTGAGTGCGATCCAAGCGAAGGGGGGAGGGGGAGTACCCAACAATGGCGGCATGTCCGCGAAAAACTCGTCCTCATGGCGGATTTTTTGGAATTTTAAGAAATAATCTGAAACGCAAAAAACGAATATATTCTTGATCTGTACACTTGTTCGCATGGCTTGAACTAGGATTATTGAAAAAACATGAAAAATGCAAAAATTATGAGCTTTTGAAAAAAAAATCGGTTTTTTCCTCATTTTTTCGTCACTTATTATTTTTTTAAATAAACAATTTTTAATATTTTCAAAAGATCCTAGTCTATTCCATGCACATACTTCTGAGGAACATGTATAAAAAATTTCATGACGATTGCTCAATTTTTGCGGCTTGTACGACTTCCGCCAACTCGGAAAACATGGTTTCGAGAAAAACGCGTTTGAAAATTTGCACTATAATGGCAACGCGCTTGACACCGGTCCACCAAACGCTCGATAACTTTCGTAATTCAAGAGATTTCGACTTGAAATTTAAGGAGAGTAAAATTGAAACATGTATGTATCCGAAACTGCAAAAAAAAAAAAAATTATTTTTTTGACCTCACAAGGTGCAAGCCTGCCTTAAACATATTTTACAGTCAATGTTCAAAGTGCATTTGGTATGGACCGGAAACTAACAGAGTGCGGGCAATAACTGGAGAAACATTTTCGATACTCGTTGGAGATGGAAAAATATCGATGACGGCCCAAGAAACATTGATATCACCTTAGGCTTGAAAACATCGATGACACCGATGCTGGCATCGATGGTTTTTCACCTCTAATCGTCGGGAAAAGTGCACAAAACCCAAAAAACCGCTGTTTTCTGGTGCAGTTAGTGAAGCTGATTGGTGAAAAGTGAGTATTGTGCGCCAGTGCAACTACTTTCCGTGACCACCAATGGTTTTTCCTAAAGAACGCCGCGCTTACCGCACTTATTCCGTGTTGCTCATTTTCTTGGGCTGCACGGTGCCCCAAGCCAACTAACATAAACGCATCTCCGTGTGCGTGTTTGTGCGCGTTTGTGTGCAAGTGTGAGTGCGCTTCGTGTTGGTATGGTTTTTTAGCAGGGTTTTTGGTTTTGTGGTTTTGCATGGAGCACTAGGCTTACCCTGGGTCGGTGATCAGGGCCCTGAAATTGGGTAAAGGAGGGCGCAGGGGCGGGCGACCGTGAATCCACTTTCCAGCTAATCTTGCGCCGTCTCCTTCGCTCCTCGTCCGCTCGGCTGCTCGGCTGTTGAGATGTACACACACATATTCGGATTTTGCCGAGAGGAGCTGCAGTTCCGGATTCGAGTCCGGAGCTGCGCTCAATCCGCGTCCTGCAGTCGTGCAACGAGGACTTTCGCTCGCAAGGACTCTGAATCCAACACCTCTGTTTGCCAGCTAATTGGTTTGCCCTCTCTTTTATCGTTGCAGCTTGTGGCGCGAACTGCGACGCAAAAATCCAGGAATCAAGAGGAGCAATTAAAGATTTAAATCGAACGAAATGTCCAACTCGGAGAAGATGCAGGGCCAGGAGCACGACGAGGACCAGTCCTCCGACGTGGAGGTGAGTTTTGGGGTAGCATAAAAACCCCCTCAGCACTCGATTTTTATTTTCCTTTTATCTCTGCAGGAGTCTGCCGATAATGTGGGCCGCGATGAGGGCACCGACGAGGACGAGGACAGCAACGGCAACATGCAGCACGAGGATGGTGATAATGATGGCGATGGCCAGGAGCAATCCGGCGACGAGGAGCAGAACAACGGCCAGGGCAACGAGGGCAACAATTGCTCCGGGCAGCAGCAACAGCAGATGGACCGCACCAGCGCCACCAATCTGATCATTAACTACTTGCCGCAGGACATGACCGACCGCGAGCTGTACAATCTCTTCAGCGGCTGCGGGCCCATCAACACCTGCAAGATTATGCGCGACTTCAAGGTGAGTTGGGCACTGCCTTCGGTTTTGCAAGTGTGGCCCAGTTGGGTGGCCCAGGGAACCAGGTGAACTGCACGTCACAGGTGCTGTCCCTTTCGCACGCTGCATACACACGAATGCATCTCAACCTCGTCTCGACCTCTTCTTTTCATGCCCGCTCCCTGGGACGCCAAACAGACCGGATACAGCTTCGGCTACGGCTTCGTGGACTACAAAATGGAGTCGGACTCGGAGGACGCCATCCAGAAGCTGAACGGGTTCTATGTGCGCAACAAGCGATTGAAGGTGGGTTTATTTGCATCCCCCTTGTAGTCCCTGGCTCACCTGCGACGCATTTTTCACCCACAGGTTTCCTATGCCCGACCTGGTGGGCAGTCCATCAAGGATACCAACCTGTACGTGATCAATCTTTCGCGGAACATCAACGATGATATGCTCGACCGCATCTTTTCGCCCTTCGGCCTGATTGTACAGCGCAACATCCTGCGGGACAAGCTCACCGGACGTCCGCGCGGCGTCGCTTTTGTGCGGTGAGTAAGGGATACATACGTGAAGAGCAAAATGGGTCAAACTTCCCGATTAGTATCCAGGATGCCCCAGATATCAAACTAAACCTTTTATTTAATTCGGTGTAGATTTTTGACAACACAGATGAGCTTCAAGTCATACAATTAATTATTAATAATTTAACTAGTGTATCCTAAGAAGTTTCAGTTGATAATGATTAGATTGATAAAAATCGGAAATAACTGTAAATTTGTGATGTCTTTTCATAATTTGTATTATTAAAATTAAAAATAAAATATCCAATATATTTTTAACCACACAGAATATAAAATAACTGAAATCTGATTACAATTATAACATAAACGAATTAAACTCGACACAGATATTTTATACGACTTCAAAAACACATTTGTTCTTTTTTAAAAATCAAACCATTCAAAATTTGTCGGGAAATCGACGAAACGATATGTTTTCGAGTCGTTCAATATTAAATGTTTGTTATAGCTACAAGGGTACATAAACCTCGGCTTTGCGAAGTTTTCTTTCTGGTTTTAATACAAATCATCGAATAACTGTTACTTCATATTTCTGATTTTTATAATAAATCATTTATACAACATTTTATATCATGTGTGGTGCCTGGTTTTGAGCTAGAGGTATTTATATGTATGAATGAAAGTCACTTTTATTCGAATGTTTTATAAGAAGGAAATTAAAATTTAAGTTAAACCACTTCGTGCATACTTTAACTTTATGTCCGTTGAGGTATGAATTAAATGTAGATAAAATATTTGACGATCAGCATTATAGCAATTTTGCGTTAAATGTTTTCGCTGTGGTAAATTTTTAAGAACTTAAAATGTCCCCAATAAAGATAGTTAGCCAACATTATTTAAAACCCACACTCTCTTACTTGCAGCTACAACAAGCGCGAAGAAGCTCAGGAGGCGATTAAAGCCCTAAACAACACGGTGCCGGAAGGCGGATCCCAGCCAATCTGGGTGCGCCTCGCCGAGGAGCACGGCAAGGCCAAAGCGGCCCAGTTTATGTCCCAGATCGGAGGTGGCAACGGTGGAGGAAGCGGTGGCCCGCCGCACATGGGTCCCAATGGGCCGATGCAGCCGCCACATCACCATAATAATCACCACCACAACAACCACCATAATCCGCATTTGCCGCCGCATCACCATCAGCAACAACATCCCCACCAGCACCCGCACCACCATCCGCCGCTGCACCACATGCAGCACCACCATCCCAACAACCACAACAACAATCACCACAATAACCATCATAACAACAACAACAACAACAACCACCATAACATGGGTGGTCCGCATCCCCACCACATGCAGCAAATGCACCCGATGGGCATGAACATGGGCATGGGCGTAAACATGGGAATGGGCATGGGCATGGGTATGCCCATCCACGGAGGCGGCGGCGGCGGTGGAGGCGGTGGTGGCTTCCACCACATGGCGCACAGAGGTAGATCTAATAGAACAACACGATCTCAAAAACCGCATCCATATAACCATGCACAGAAATTTATTTAAACGCCATTAATTTCTTTACACGATATTAGCTGCATCTCACAGGTGAAGTGTTCATGCTGCCATTGCCGATTTGCAGCCGATTTCCCAGCCAGCCGCAACCTGTAGGCAATGGCACTTGCCACAGCCCCAACAAGAACAACCAGAGCAACTGCAGCAGCAGATTCAGTATGAACCACCGCCCGTAAGCCAGCAGAACAACCAGATATCACCCACATTCGGTCATAGATCCCATTCCGACTACCTAGTGCCGCTTTACTTTCCAGTCGCCACCTATCTATCAGCCGCCTCCTGCTCTCTGCCAACCACAATTACGGCCTACCCAGCTGTGTTGGCTCTTTCCGATCCAGTTGCTGACACAGCAATAGTCATACCCACCTACCCAGAAGCCACATCGCAATTTTCCGAGTTAGCTTTAGCTCCACCCGTTTCACTCCCTGTCCCTATCCCGGAAGCAAGTCCTGATGTGGGAGTGAGTGGCGGTTGCATGAGTTTCTATAACATAAACGAAGATCTGGTCAACTCGGTCACCTACTACGACACGGCCAACGGCGAGATGTGTGCCATGGGGCTGGTGTACGTGAGCTACCAGGAGCCAACGATGCCAGAGGAGCACACGGATGCCATGACTCTGATTGCCCAGATGAGCAATGCATCGCTGGTAGACGGAGACGGCGAAGAAGGCGGGGCAGATGGAGAGGGCGACGGACGTGGCGGGCACAACGGGCGCGCAGGCGGTGGCAGCTCCGAATAGAAAAAGATCAAAAGATCGAGCAAAATCGCAAGAAAACTAAGATATAATCCAAATCCAATAACAGCCAACTCTCTCGCTCTCTCTGCGTCTCTCTATGTGTATGTATGTATGTTGTAACCCGTATATGTATATCCATGTCAGAGAGCCAGGAAAGGTTGAGTCCAAACTATAAAACCCAAAGCTACACTGGCCAGGAACAGCAAATCCAAGCATTGGCAGCAGGAGGCAAACAAGAGATGCACGACAGGCATGAGCAGAACAGAAAGAACACTATCACAGATTTTAGGCAAGCAAGTTTGATGATGCGTAGCGTGTAATAAGATGTAAGAAATAATGTTCCAAAGTACACAAGCCCACACAATCCCCAACCACACATATATAAAGACGGTCGGAGTCGAATCCTTGATGAATGATTTGATGATTTCGCGATAAAGATTAAAAAAATGCACTACTATGCGAATTTTTAAGCAAAGTAAGATAAAATTCCAATGAATTTGTATGAAGAGCATACAAAAACCCAAGCAAAACAAGCAGCAATTCAAACAGAGACAAGAAACAATACAGAAACTTAACTAACTTAACACAAGAGTACGGTGACACTTCCGACCGGTAAGGACGGACAACGGACATAATGACATGCGGACAGCGGATGACTTGCTCTGAATAGACGGTTAATTTGTAGACTTTTAAGGAAACCACAAAAAGAACAAGGGTTCGTTCGCGGAACTTGCTTTTTACTACATAATAATAAATTATTAATGTATAACCAAGAACCCACAACACTCTACACTAAACAACACACTTATATATTAGATAAATATATATAAATGTATAAACACCCGATTCCCCGTAAAACTTCAACAAAAACTCGACAAGAAGATCGCTGAATATGAAATAAATTTGAAATTTTCCAACCAGCATACCAGTGGGACCCAGAAGTCCACATTTTTTTTATTTTTTTTTAAATATTCATAATCTCTAAACGTAAAACCTAGTCTCGTAGCATAATCATAGTTAAGGTAACGTTTTTTTTCAGACTAAACTTAGCGCGCGGAAGAAAAACCGAAAACACATGTATTTAAACTTTAAATTTTAAAGTTAATTCGTAATAAACAAACACAAACCGAATTCTTGAGCCTGCAAGCGAGATGGCATCAACAGCGGAAGAGAGCGAGAGAGAGAGATGCGAGGTACAGTCAGCACAGTACAGTGCAGTACATGAGATAAGTGCGGAACGGAGCTTATAGTTACAGATATTGATGTACATTGATGTTAGGCTAAGCAAATAAATAGCCAAGATGTTCGTTATTTCGCCTAGCTGAATTTTAGTCCTCATATTTACGTATTTAAACAACTATTACTAGTCCTTAAGCGGGCCTATTCGACAGGTGAAAGCAAGAAGCTGTGGCACTCTACTAAAACTAAAAATACAAATTTAGACATACACACATATTTGTGAACAACCAAAACGATGAAACTGAATTTTGCGATAAAACTGACATTTTTTAGGGCAGTATTCTTGATAAATTGATATTTAAATGTTGATGTACACCTAACAGACACACGCGAACAGGGGCAACCGCTAATATATTTATGCGCCTGGATCAAGCGAATTATACTTAAACTTCCTCGGTGAATAGATGTATATATATGCAGTGTCCAAGCCAAAGGCCCTATGAAAAATTAAAATTGGTGTAATAAATGTGTATTTTAATCACAATGCCGGCATGTTTTCCCTTTCAATTGGAGTTCAAAATTTTGAATCAGGCACAGACTAGGATTTTCGCTCGCTTACTGACAGCCGGGCTTAAATTTTTTCCTCATAACAGATATTTCCTTTTTGAATTGCGCGCCACCTCTGCTGAGCACCTGTCAGCCCTGCCGATAGTTATCGATAGGCACTGGAAGGCCAGAAAGAGAGAGCGCGAATCAGCTGCTGGAACGATTGTTCTGTTGTTGGAAGCCACTGGGAAGCGCCAGCGCCTTCCAATGTCAATTAAATAAGCAAAACGCGAAGAAAAAGAAAAGCCGAGCGGAGAGTCTCGTTGCCGCGGACGAACAGAAACCAGGAAATAAGGCCTACACCATTACCAACGCCACCGCTCCCGCACCTCTGCGATCATCCGCACATCCACATCCGAGTCCGGACGAGGCTGCACGGCGGACAGGAAGAGCGTAACGTGAGTAGCTTTCTGTTGTTTCGTCGGACTACGCAATAAACGATAACGACCTTCCCCGCAGCGGAGGAACACCCTTCAAAAGTCCAGTGAGCCAGTGGTAGCTACCCGTTCGAGATGCCCCAGATGAGGGCAGCGGCCGCTGAGGCGGTGGCCGCCGGCAGCGCCAATGGGCAGCCGCTGGTCAAGATCGGACACTACCTGCTGGGCGCCACCTTGGGCACCGGCACCTTCGGCAAGGTTAAGATAGGCGAGCACCAGATCACCCGCGTCAAGGTGGCGGTCAAAATACTCAATCGGCAGAAGATCAAAAGCCTGGACGTCGTGGGCAAGATCCGGAGGGAGATCCAGAACCTGAAGCTCTTCCGCCATCCACACATCATCAAGCTGTACCAGGTGAGCCAATACCTGCGGTACGGGGAACCAGACTTCCCACAGATATCTGATATATAAACCAGAAGGGTGTTGTTTGTGGTCAGCTACGTTCCCACACCCATTTAACACCCATATAAACACTCCACTCCGTCCTATTAAGTACCATTTATTGATTGGAGCGAATTGTTTGGTAGAATTGTGATCCCCAGTAATTTTCGGCTCGCGCTCTCTATCAACAATGATATTTATCATCAAACTCGTCAAGCGAGCAGGGTAAATAGTAACTAAATACAAAATCAACCGAGGGTTTCTGAAATTACCGCAGAAACTGGGGCACTAGTTTTCTTACGAAAAGGCCGCTGACCATATAAACACAACAAACATGATTCAAATAAACAAAATTACCCCTCTGCCGCATACGGAGTCATACAAAGTTTTTTTTATAATTTTCAATACATTTTTCTTGTTAAAACTGTATTTAAGCGAACGCTGTTGCTATCGGCCATTTTCCCTGCTATATATATTTTTTAAATAAATGAAATTAAAATGCAGCTTTCTTTTATAAAATAATGTATTTTCACTGTTTCGTAAATTTTTAAAGATTTACTTTATTGCAAAATTGACAACTAATTATATAGACCGTAAATTTTTTTTCAATAAAACGTGCAAATATAGATTTTCTTTAAAAAGGTTTTATTTTTTTTGTAAAGATTTTCATGAGGTAGCGGGTTAATACCATCGGATTACTTTGGAGACAGGAGCAAAGAGCAAATTTCCCAAATACAAAATTTAAATGTGCAGATATCGTATCTTTGTTGTCTAATTCTAACATTTGCAACTTTTAAAGCCGACCATATTATGATTTAGTTTTTCTAATAATAAACACTTCCGACTCGTTCCGATTTTACTTAAGATCACATTCTCTCAAAGTGGTGTATTCCCATCGACAAGATCATTTTGTCAAGAAGAGTTTTACTTATCAATAAAACAAAGAAAACTTTAAGCGATTTCGGTCTGGCAATTTAAATATTGAGTTACGGAAACTAGTAAACACATCCATAACACTGTCACCCTCCTTACAACTCCCACTAAAGGATTCCTTATTTCCCTTAAGGTCATCTCCACGCCCTCGGACATATTTATGATAATGGAGTACGTTAGCGGCGGCGAGCTATTTGACTACATCGTGAAGCACGGCAAGCTACAGGAGCATCAGGCGCGTCGCTTCTTCCAGCAGATCATATCGGGCGTGGACTACTGCCACCGGCACATGATCGTGCACCGGGACTTGAAGCCGGAGAACCTGCTGCTGGACCACAACATGCACGTGAAGATCGCAGACTTCGGACTATCGAACATGATGCTGGACGGTGAGTTCCTGCGCACCTCGTGCGGCTCACCTAACTACGCGGCCCCAGAGGTGATCTCCGGCAAGCTTTACGCCGGACCCGAGGTAGATATATGGTCGTGTGGCGTCATCCTGTATGCCCTGCTGTGCGGGACTCTGCCCTTCGACGACGAGCACGTTCCCACGCTGTTCCGCAAAATTAAGTCGGGCATCTTCCCGATACCCGAGTACCTCAACAAGCAGGTGGTTAACCTGGTGTGCCAGATGCTGCAGGTGGACCCGCTAAAGCGGGCCAACATTGAGGAGATAAAGAAGCACGAGTGGTTCCAAAAGGACCTTCCGGCCTACCTATTCCCCTCGTCCATTGAGCAGGACTCCAATGTGATCGACACCTACGCGGTGGCCGAGGTCTGCACTAAGTTCGGCGTCAAGGAGACCGAGGTGCACAACTCGCTGCTCAGCGGCGATCCGCACGACCAGCTGGCCATTGCTTACCATCTGATTATCGACAACAAGCGCTTCGCCGACGACGCGGCAAACCAGATAAATGAGATCAACAACTTCTTTGTGGCCGGTTCGCCGCCACCCCCGCCTCCGCCGCCCGTTCCCCAGTCAATGATGGACCACCAGGCCCCTCTGGCCACCGTGACCGTGGGTGGAGGTACTGCAGCCAGCTCGGGTTCCGCCACGCCCGTGCCGCCGACCACTGGCGGCACTCCCAGCAGCACCATTCGGCCACATCCGGAACGAATCGCGCCGATGCGGGACCGCCAGCTGGCCATGTCCGTGCAGACTTCGGGCGGCGGAGCATTCCCCGAGAAAACCGCACGCGGCGGTACGCCCATCAAGCGCGCCAAGTGGCACTTGGGTATCCGGTCGCAGAGCAAGCCCAATGACATCATGCTGGAGGTGTACCGGGCGATGAAGGCCCTCAGCTACGAGTGGAAGATCATCAATCCTTACCACGTGCGGGTGCGACGGCAAAACGTTAAGACGGGCAAGTTCTCGAAGATGTCGCTGCAACTGTACCAGGTCGACGCCAAGAGCTATCTGCTGGATTTTAAGTCGCTGACCAACGACGAGGTCGAGCAGGGCGACGACGTCATCATGGAGAGCCTCACTCCGCCACCGCTTAGCGTTTCTGGGGTGATGCCGCTGCAGCCGACCGGCCACCACACCATGGAGTTCTTCGAGATGTGCGCCGCCCTGATTATCCAGCTGGCGCGCTAAGGAGGATTGGGTGACCGCCGTCGGCCGCAGCGGATTCAATGGGATCTTCTTGGTTGGCGGTCTCCATTTGGACCGCCCTGAGGATTGACCATGACCCGGAAGACTCAGTCCCACAAAAGAAAGCTGCATATGTTTTTCATGGGCTTAAACACTTGACTTAATTCTTCAATTCGATGCGATCACTGCTGATTTCAATCGGAATCTAAATTTTAAAAAAAATTTGATTTCGATTCGAAATATGCATTTTGTCCGATTATCTTTGAATTGAACTATCATAAAAAAAATGTTTGCATGCACAAGTACCCCTGTTGCCGTTCTGAAAGTACAATTGGAAAATATTTCCAAACTGGTTTTTTATTTTGTCATTAAATGTATTTTTTCGGAAATGTGCAATTCGATTCCAAAAAACGACGGCAGCACTGAATAGCCTTTAAACCTTGAACGACACTTTTTGAACGACAAACCAGCTTTTGAACTACGAGTCCAGCTTTCTTTTGTGCGACTGTGTAATCTAAATAAAATGTTTTTTATTACGAACGCCCGCCAGCCGTTAACGCTACGCTACCGTTACCCGCTTCGCCGTATCCATTTCCGCTTCCGGTTAGTCTAAGTTTGTATGTTTTGCCACGCACCGCACGGCCGGCGGGCTTCGATCTGTTTCTATTTCAATTTCTGTTTATATATACATGTTGAGTTATTATTTTACCCGAATCCAAACCGTATGTGTACGTATATTTGTATTATGCCCAACGAATTGTAATCCGAACCTTTTCTGGGGGATGTAAGATTGTAATCAGCTTGGGGCGAGCGATTTTTATGTATCTGTATAAACCAAGCCACAATAAAGAGATCCACTAATATTCTAAATGGATTCTGGACCTGCCCCAACTGAATTCAAAACAGTAGCGACGTGTGAGTTAAAAATAGCCATAATTAATATTAGTTTTATTGCATAATAAAGTATTTTGTGCATATTCTTTCAGCATCGATGATTGCAATTCCTGCCTCGGTATTGGGCTTTATCGCAGTAACAGTCTCCCGTTTCTTGTGTAAAATCATGACCTCCCAGACCCACTTATACTTCCCGCATTTTGCTACTGCTTCTGCTGCTGCTTCCGCTTCAGTTTGTCGATCAGCGTCTCGATGCTGTTGGCGTCCACCAGGCCAATGAACTTGTCCACCACAACGCCGTTCCTGAAGGCCAGCACTGCGGGCACGGCCTTCACCTCGAAGGTCTCAACGAGATCCAGATTCGTCTCCACATCGATGACCGCCAGGTCGATTTCGTTAGAATTCTCCAGAAGTTCAAGCATCTTGGGCGTGAGGATCTTGCAGGGATCGCACCACTCGGCGTGAAAGTTCACGATCACCGGGTTGTCGCTGTTGATCACCTGCGGAATAAAAGCGAATGCAGATATTAGATTAGTTAAGATCAGAAATTGAATTATGTATAAATTATGGTTTTTGTTATTGCTTTTCCAACAGTTAAATATTCATTTAGCTCAAATGAGTCAAGAATATCCAATTCATCTTAAAAAAGACTTACATTAGGGGTTATAACGTTAAAGGGCTATAAGGCTATATTTATAGTCAAGTTGACCAATAGGCATAACGTCATTTCAAAAAAATGAGGGAAATGATGCCATAATACAGTTTTAGCATGATTCACATAGTTGTAACCCCAACGTTTCGTTGCTATATTGGAACTATATTAGAACTTCCTGCAACTAAATATATTTACGTTTTATATAATCATAGCAGATAGCTAAAACTATGTATGTATGTATATCCTTAAACGGGAAATGAAGCTGCAGCTACTAAGGAAACAAAAATATCTCATGATTAATATTACAGACAAGTAGTTAAGTTGTTCTATTAAAACAAGGGAGCCACTACTCTTATCTCAACTAATCCGCCTGCAATTGATAATCTGAGAAGTCCAACAATGAACAGATACGATAGTGGTTCTTCTGAAGTTGGCTCCCCCAATGTTGTGGACTCGCCAACTGGCTAAAAGGGGTTCAAACCGGTATCCAATGTTTTTGGGACTCATTTGCATACACAAGCCAAACGGTCAACACAAACAAAGGGGTGAGCGTGCACACATATGGGCACGGGTCCATGGCCACCTCCTCCTTCTTTTACCCCTGCTCGACGAGAACCAATCACGTACGCCAGCGAAGCAAGGTCGTGTACTCGCATTCTCCCCACTGTTCCCATTGCATAATCCTGACTCACCTTCTGATCAAACTCGTAGTGATCCTTGATGACCAGCTTCTTAAGGAGGCTCTGCGACTGCGACAGGTACTTCTGAGTGGCCTTGGCCGCCTGGGGAGCGATCCTTTGGCAGCTGCTCTGGGCACTGGTGGCTCCCATGGAGCAACAGGCCACCAGACGTGGCGCGATTCCCTCGGCGGCGATCTTCAGCATTTTGGACTGGGATTCGGTGCGGGTGCGGTGGCGGATGCGAATGCGGAACACGGGGACTCGCAGCGATTAGATTGCGGGGCTGGGGCTTAACCAGTTTTTTTCGTACTGCGTGTGCGTTCAATGTTTGTTTATAAACCGTGGATGCAGGTGATGCCACACTGCCAACCGCTCGGTGTTGCCACCTGGCGATATTCAAAGACAGCTGTGAACTCGGCTATCGATAGGAGAACTCGTATTATTATAGCCCTAGCCCAGCAATAAATATAACCAGTATATTACATATATGTAGGTCTTAAGTACTCTCCACAAAGCCTCCACGATAATCCGGTCCATATTGGACTTGCTCCATAACCTGAGTTACGAACTGATAACTATTGGTGACCTAATCCATTTAAGGGGGGAGCCTGCTAAGAGGCTTTAAAATTTGGAATTTTTCATATGACTACCCAAACTATCCAAGAATGTGTCCCTAAAATTTTAAAAGTAAATTCAAAATATTTGTAAAGTTACAGGAGATATAGTGAGCAAGCGTTACGATTTTTTATATACAAAAACTTTGACGCGCGATTTCTCGGTTTTTCATTTTTACGATTTCTTCTAACTGGCGGGAAAGATAGAGAAAAAATTAAACGTTCTATCGAAACGAGACAAAATTTATTGGATTCGGGACTAAATCTCTTCTAGTTGAACCTAAAAAACCTTAAAAAAGTTATGATAAACCCACTTTGTAAACAATCAGAAGAGAATTTTTATTTTAATATCTTTTTATTCTTTCTTTCTTTTCTTTTTGTTCAATATTTTTTGGCTGAAATAGATATTATTGGAAATAGAACATTTTTTGGAATATTTTTTCTGATGAAAATTGCTACATGCATCTTTCCCGCCGCACGACACATCCACACTCTAGGCGCCGCGGCTAAATGCTTGTACCAGGAATAATATGACATATATTTTAATAAAAACGTTTGAGAAGACTGTTGAAATATATAACAATAAAATCTGAAAGTTTCGTTTCAATCGAATATTTCTTTCCTTCCCAAAACACTCCTCAATTTTTTTTAAAGCTTCTAAAGCAGGCTCCCCTCTTAACAACACATTTGCACATCACTAGATTCCTATGGTAAGCCGAAAAACGGAGTTTTGCGGTTTGCTCGATACTACTATGAATTTGCTATCGATATTTGAGCTAACTCCAATACTCCCAATTGCCGTTTATTTTTGACTATGTTTTAAGCATTTTTCAAAAATGTCTAAATGTTCGATTTTTAACTAACAAAATTTAAAAAAAATCATCAAATTTTACTCCACTTTTCCCGATCAGTAGTTTCTTATAATACAACTTTATAATTAACGTAGAGTTGTCCTTAGCCCTTTCAGTGTAAATGGACCTTTAGCCTACCTAATTTATTCATTTGGAAATTTACCATATATGTATGCACTAAAGCACAGATCACGCCTATAAGTGGAATAATAGTTAGATAATGGCCGGTTTCACGACTTCGAGTTAAAGTGCCAGTTAGTTATCTGACCGAAAAAGTAAGAAATAAAATAACCCATTAATATGATGTGTTTAGGTTAGAGTTGTTTTAGGTTAGAGTAAACCCTCACATGATTCCTCGAGAAAATTAAATGTTGTTAACGTGAGCAAAAGCTGTCCGAGATAAACACTCTTGCAGTCGGGAAGCAGGCATTCTGATTTTAACGAACTGTTGCCTACGGTCCCCGATTGTGCCGTTTTGAATTTGGCGCCCTGCCTTCTCTATCGTCTCTCTCTGCCGCAGGAATTTCGCTGCTCGCAACGCAACAACAAATCTGTCCATTTGCCGACGCTTGCCCGTTGTCGTTGTAGCCGCGGTGCCGCCAGAGAGCTGTGTTTGTTTGTCGTGTTTATTATTTTTTCGACTGCGGGCACGGTGTGGAGAAAAATATCATTTTTTTTTACTTTTTGTTTGGTTTTGTGTCAGCAAGAAGGCCGAGAAGCGGGAAAGCGTCCAGCACCCCATGCACCACCCCTACAAGCACAGGTCGAAGTCGAGCTCAGAGCATATGTGTGCGGAGAAAAGTGCTGAATAAGCTGCAAAATATTGCGAAAACGCGGAGATTGTTGCATGCGGGCCAAAGAAGAGGAAAAGGAAGCCGAAGCAGAAAAACAGCAAGTGAGTTTAAGTCGCATCTAAAATAGGAAAACTAAATAATCCAATTGACGGTTCAAGCTCTGTCTGTGTGTGTGTGTGTGGAGCGCGTGTGCGTAAGTGTGCGTTTTTCCACCCCAGGAGCGCGCTTGAAAATCCAAAACACGGTTTCGGATTTGTTTGACCCTCCCCTGGTCGAGAACGTGTTTCAGTCTAAGGATTTCGGTTTCGATTTCTCAGGAGGACACAGCTGTTTGCTCCTTCGTGTTCTTTCTAACATTCGATTTATGACATCAACACACGCTCCAAGCTCACACACGCGTGCAGCAGAGCTTTGATTTGTCCTTAGGCCAAAGCTCTCGCTTGAAGCTCAAAACCAAGCTGTTGTTGTTTTTTTTTGTTCGTCCTTTTGGAGCGCGCTTTATTGTTGTTTGTGTGTTCTCAAATTAAATGTTATCGATTTATGACGGAAAGCTATTCGCTGGTTTCTTGGCAAATTCCAATAGGTGGATAAGGAGTAGCGGTACATCTCATCAGGCTATGATCTTAAGCCAGGGTTTTTACTGACGAACCTGCTTCGATATGTAATATAAAAACATTTTCTTACATTATATCATACTAAACTAAATCATAAGGATCCTTAAACTTCATTTGATGCAAAGTGTTCCAAAATACTTTCGGTTCGGTTTATACTTAACGATATTATAATATTCATTTCTTCCAAACTATATTCAGAAGTTCTTAAACTTTTAACAAAATTGGTCTTAAAAGCACCCACAAAATATGCTTTAATTAAATTTACAACGCGGAATTCCTAACGATCCACACAATATTGATGCAAATCCTTATTATTTTTAATAAAAGCATAAAGTAGATCACTTTCACATCAAAAAATGTATTAGCCTACTAATATTTTTACTGACGAACCTGCTTCGATATGTAATATAAAAACATTTTCTTACATTATATCATACTAAACTAAATCATAAGGATCCTTAACTTCATTTGATGCAAAGTGTTCCAAAATACTTTCGGTTCGGTTTATACTTAACGATATTATAATATTCATTTCTTCCAAACTATATTCAGAAGTTCTTAAACTTTTAACAAAATTGGTCTTAAAAGCACCCACAAAATATGCTTTAATTAAATTTACAACGCGGAATTCCTAACGATCCACACAATATTGATGCAAATCCTTATTATTTTTAATAAAAGCATAAAGTAGATCACTTTCACATCAAAAAATGTATTAGCCTACTAATATTTTAACCTAGTTTCTCTTTAGTAATGTTGTCTTTTTATCTCGGTCTCGCTTTAACCAATCGTTTCCAAAAATGTTTTCCCAAAAATATTGGAAAACTAAAAACAAAAATTGGAAAAGCTGGCGCATGAACTAGGGGAGGAGAAAAACTTTTATGGATGCTTTGGCCTAAAAATATCGCACCCAGCGAACGTGTAATTTTCTCGACTCTGCTCCGAAACCGAAATCTTCAAACTTTCAAGTGTGATCGCCAATCTCACGCAATCTGATCTGTTGTGATCTGAATCAAGATCGCCTCTCGAAATAGCACATATAGGAATCCCCTTGAAGGCGATTTCGGTTTCTAATTTTGGGCTCGTCTTGAGCAGGTTCTTTTGCCGTCTAGTACCTACTCTCGTTTTCCCTGGTTTCGCTGGCTTTGTTTTTCCGATTTCCAGCCCCATGCCGGGCACTCGAAGCCCGCGCTCTTCTATTTCTGATCCGTCTATATATAGAGTCCCGACTTCGGCTTAGTTCGCGGTACCTTCCGAGAGGCAAGCAAAAGGTGGAATGGGGAGTTCAATTAACTTTAAATGGATTACACAAACAAACAGGAGGGCTGCGCAAAGGCGCAGGGGCGGGGCGGAAGCCTATATTAAACACAGACACGCACTCACACCCCAGAACTAGATAAAGAAACACAAACAGAGCTACCGACAGAGACACAAGGCAGAGCGAAGCGATCGGGCCTCTGATCCCGATCCCTATTCGACCCCTCCCTCTTCACGGCCCCCTGAGCCCCCTGAGCCCCGGCCTCGCTATTTCCCTAACTTGGGCAGAGGAGCGGAAAACGGTGCTAAGGGGCGGGGGCACCGTCGGTGATGCTGCCAAAAATAAATTTGAACTCAAATCGCAGCGGCAGACGCGAGACGCGGTAAAAACGACTGCCAAGAAAAAACCAACGCAACGTATTAGCCTCCAAAGACCGGCCCATGTCGCTTTCTTTGGGCCTGGGCCATTGGACTATGTGAGTGAGGTGTACTTTGTAGAAGTAGTACTGGCGACCCACCCACGACCCAGCCCACTTCTGATCCGAGAAGTGAGATAAAAATGGAGAAAGTGGAGAAAATGTGTACCCTGTTTTGAGTTTTATGGTGCGAACTGAATATACATTTAAATACATTTTAATAAACATTAAAGGACTATATCATATACAAGGATGGCATAGCAAAATTATAGATATATTCCTTCCCTTCTCGACACTTAACTTGACTTTGTCCAATTTCTGACGTTGCAAATTGAAGACTTTTAACAACTACTAAATGTATATTAAAATTTATTTTTTTAGTGTGGCCAATATATATTTTAGCGGATTGTGAGGGTAACTAATGGTAAATGCATTCTTTTCTGAGGGCAGGAGTACTCAAAGGAGTCCCCAAAGGGCCAAGTGACGCAACGTGGTATGGACACAAAGAGGCGTTCGGAAGGCGGGTCATACGTGCCCGACCTCATTAGTTTCAAGTTTCCAAAAGGCACGCACACCAGCGCAGAATCGCCAAAACTCGGGGGCTGGGAAAACGGGGAAGAGGCAAATGGGAAAATCGAAAATGGAATATGGAATATGGTTTTCCATACGCTCGGACCCATTAATTTTCATCTCCGGCGAGAGAGCTTAAACAGCGGCTATTTGTAAACGCAGGCAGATGCCTGCCATGCCGAATATCGCTCCCGCCACCCGTCCCACCCACCGCTCCTGGCCAGAAACCAAAACCAAAGCTATCCAAACCGA